CGTGTGTGTGTCTGATAGTGATGAGCGGTTGGGAGGTCGTACTAGCAACAAATCAGAATGGGTGGGAGGTCTATTACAAGTTTTTCAATGGTTCAAACGCATTACGGCTGTCTAAGAGTGTTTTTTCATTGCTGATGCAGGATGGGTTTGTTAACAAAAAACTATTAGGCCTGTAAAACTCGCACTGCTATAGTCACTTTTAATGTAAACATTTGCATATCCTGTCTTTTGTACGCTCTATGTAAATTTATCCATTGTGAGATCAATAAAATATATCTTATCTTAATTATGTTTTTAAGCCTAAAGAACAGTGTTAATTCTGTTGTGTACATTATGATGCCAGTTTACACTCACATGGCGGCACGGTGGCTGAGTGGATAGCACTCTCGCCTCTCAGCAAGAAGGTCCTGGGTTCGAATCCCGGTCGGACCAGGGCCTTTCTGAGTGGAGTTTGCATGTTCTCCCCGTGTCTGCGTAGGTTTCCTCCGGGTACTCCGGTTTCCCCTACCACTAAAAATATGTCCAATAGTTCAGGCATGTGCCTCCTGTACTGGCCCCGCTCCCATCTCTGTGTGGAGTGAGAGACAAATGCCCATAATTAACAATTGTAAACCGCTTTGAGACTCAGATCTGCAGTGAAAAGGCGGTATATAAATAAAAACTTACTTACTTACATGGGCCAAGGCCTGCTCCACTGTATTCCTTATACGCTTATGTTCTACTTAGCAACGGTTGCTAAGCAGTGATGAGGGAGGGAGTCTCTGCACCATAACGCAAGAAGGTGCAATGTTAATGTTAATGTAAGACTTTACTACAGCAGGCAGCGGACAGGGTTCAAAGTGTGGTAGTTGTAACGTTTACTGATGAATCAATAAAGTGGAGTAATAGCAGGTATAATGCAGACGGAGGAACATGCATGTATGGCAAAGGTGACCAGCAGGGCCCTAAATGGAGCCTGGAACAGAGGTCTGGGTTTGATTCAGGGCTTATTGGTACAGCATCAGGGGGCATTTAGGTCCAAATTACCTCTTGGCCATTTACCCCCTTCTTCTGTGTAATGGTGGACCTTTCAACTCAAATAAATAACCGTGCAGCAGCTTCCATATTGAACTAGCACAGTGGGGATTTAGATTTACAGCCCTCACATAGAAGCTAGACTCTGCTTTTAGTGAAATTAACATAGTGATGTAAAGTTTGCACATGGGTGTAGATTATGTTGTTTTACTCTCATGTATGTGTGTGTGTATGTGTGTGTGTGTGTGTGCGTGTGTGTATGTCTGTGTGTGTGTTTGTGTATATGAGGGAAATTTACTTTTCTTAATTTACTTAATTTCATTACATGCGATGCTATTGTATATTTCTATTCTGTATTTTGATTGCATGTTATTGCATATTATTTATTCATGTAACTAGAAACTGCTGATGGAAAATACAGTTTAATAAAAATATTATTTTTGGACTTTTCAAAGATTCTGCACATGTCATTTTTCTTTCACTTCATACATACTGTAGCCACAGCTGTCCTGGGGCATACTGACAGACGTAACCAGCGTGTCCCATCTGCCCCTCTGACCACCAACAATATTCACTCACTCCCATTGCCTGTTTCATGGTGTGATGAGGTGACTCCTGAATCCGGCCTCTTTCATCTGCTCCTGTGGACTGGTCTCCCTCAGTCCAGACTCTTGGGCTGCAGCCCCCTCCCTGCCTGGGAACCTGTCAAGTCCTGCAGCCTCGTTCTACAAGCTGAGTCCTTGATCTACAGCCTGTCCGTCCGTGGGAATGGATCCTGCTCTCACTGCAGACCTCCTCAAGGTTTCTCGTTTTTCCTCACCGGGTTTTTTGAGTCATTCCTTACCGATGCAGGAGGGTCTAAGGACAGTGATGATCCATGACATTTAGCAAAATTTCTGGACATTGTGCTTCCTATGGATCAATAGCTCCTATGTGTTTGTTGTACTGCATTTCCTGTGTTTGATTCTCTAATCGGTTGCTGGCCAATTTACAACTTTGTAAAGTCCTGAGACAACTGCTGTTGTGATTCAGGGCTGTACAAAAATAACTTGAATTGAATCTCATCTTAGGAGACAATGACAGTTTGGAACTTTACTGATGCCCTACAGTGGCACCTAGAGTGTCTCCATCTCTGTACTAACCAGGCCCTGCACTGCTTCCGATATCTGGCTTTCACATGCAGGTAGCTACGTTCTGATACTAATGTCTCAATGTCCCTTCACATAAAGACAAAACAAACATAAACTGATGTCTTCCCCATTGGTCAGGATGTTCAGTCTTTCATCAGAATGCAGACCTTTTCTATCTAAAGCAAATGTAGTGAAATAAATCCCAGTGTGTGAAATTGAGATGTTTACTCTTGGTGCAGGTCCGCCCTGGGGCATAGTGAATCAGCAGCCCATAACTGTGACACATAAACTTCTCCACACACTTCAAACACTCTCTGCATCAGGACACATTCCTCTGACGCTCTCTCTCTGACACATCCAGCTCAGATGTGGACCTGATCAAAGTCCTGCCGGTCTCGACATGTTCACTATTACCTGGGAATTATCAAACGACTACAACGTTAATATTTGTTCGGATTTCACACCTTGGGGAAGATGAACTTAAGATGTCGTTTACCCTTCAGCGCTGAACCCGAACTCTCACAAGCACAAACAACAAGAGCCTCGAGAGACTGGCATTCACACACTTGTGCTTTATTGCTGTACAGAACTTTTCAAACAGTGGGAAACATCAACATTATGAAATATATTTTTGTTCGGCCTTGTATGCATGTATTCCATATTATGCAAAAAAATAATCAATAAATTAAATTCTGAAAGGCAGTGGAGTATCTATATAGAAGTAGTAACATCATACAGGAGCAAAGATGGATTTGAATAGATTTCAGACTGATAACAAGTGGTAAAAAGATGGCCGCCAGTGAAGGGCGAGTGGAAATATGCAGGGATTTGAAACTACAATAGCTGTGCATGCCTTTGTTTGATCTTCTCATCCTATTCAGTTTAAAAAATAAAAATAAATAAACAGACAATAGTCAACAATATAAATTAATACGTTACAACACAAAGGCTGAGTTGCTTCTTAAAAATATAACTGCATACATATTCAATAATAGAACAAGTAGTCAAGCAGTCCTGTACATGTTTTGCATTTGTTCAGTAATATGTTTTTCGGTTCAAGGCATAGCATACGTACATTCACCCAATCGGCTTCCTTGTGGATGAATGCCAGAGGTTTCGTCTTGGTTGTTCAGGACATTTTGTGCATCTTCACGCACTAACAACTTGAGATCGACCTCCGATGGCACTGCTAATTTGTAAGACTGAATCAATCAGACACATTGTGGGTGATCAGTGGGAATGAGAAATCAATTGTAGCTATCAATACTTTGTAGCTCTAACAATTCTGATCCAACCTCCAAAGATCAAACAGTTTGTCGAGACACACCCGGTCCGTTACAGACACATTATAAAATCAGTGTGCATCCATATCATGAACTGGTCTGCTGTGCGTCATAGCAGCAAAATATCAGGAACAAAACAATCTTAAATAGTATATAAACATTCTAACAGCCATAGACACGTATTCAGAAAAAGATATTCACATTTTAAAATAAACCTCTTCTTTAACCTTTGTCATTGCATCGAACCCAAGACATTCTTCAATCTCAGCCACCGCCTGCATCGGTCCAGACCCTGTACTCCTCCTTCTCCTGAAGGTTCGACTCTTCACAAACATCACTATTTACAGAGCAGTCACCATAGAAACGGGGTAGAGGAAGGGCCGGACCACATGGGTCTGTTTGAGGGTACTTTGAGAAAGATGAAGGGACAGGAGACAAGGGGACACACCCACTGTGGTGGACAGCTGTACAATTAGAGTTCATGAGGGTTACCTCCTTTTAACATATTTACATAGACAAAGTGCGTCAATGGTAAACTGCACTAAACTCAGATTTGGTCATCCATGCAGTATGTAAACATACTACAAGAGAATATTACAGCTGCTCTGGCCACTGGACTTGGACACTAGTGTATTTTCAGACACGTCATTACCTTTGGCACAAAGTTTCTTCTTTGTAACATAAACAACTCATTTGTTGAATGAGCAGGTTACATTTTTGCTAAACGTAAAGCACAATAAGATAAAATAGAATATCGGCTACTGCCACTCTTCCCCACTATCAGACCTCTGGCAGGATACTCAATTACAATGTCCCCCTTTTCCTGGTGGCACACACGCGTTTGCATGACTGGGAACATATTGAAAAGGTCAAATGGCATCTTGGGCTTAGTCCTTCAGAGAGTGGTAAAGGTTTCCTTACGGCACGGAACAACAGCAGCACACCCACGAATCCAAATCCCCGTTCAGAGTAAAGGTAAGTGCAGATGTTGGCCACAGGGTTTGTTCCTCAAAGGCTGGTGGTGACAATGGAGGAAGTGCACGTTAGTATATTACTGAGGTTAGCCTGACCCTGGGTGAGTGCCAGTGGCACAGCAGTAGCACTTAGAGAGCCCCAAGTTGAAAGAGATGTGTCCCTGAAAAGGAGAAAAGGTCCCATGTCTGAGCCAGGGTTTGAAAGGCGATGGTTCACTTGTAAACTTGAGAATGATCTGAGCCTGGACAGTTGCACACCCCGGGGCTGTACGTCAAGTATTATCAGCAGCACCATGTTTTGAGTGGACTTCCACGGTGAGCAGCAGGTAGAATATGACAGCTACCAGAGGGGGTTTAAATCATTTACTTTTACAACTCTTGAACTCCAAAAAAAAAAAAACGCTCAAAACATCCAAACAACCTGGAGCACTCAAATGCAAGAATATGGCCCATGTGGGTTGGGGTCTTAAATGCATCCCGCAGTAAGTGCTAGCCTGTATCTCATTTATCTTGAAGACTACGCTGCTATAGTTAAGAAGAGATGGGGCTGACATCAGAGTGACTTGGTCCATATTGTCATTGTTCTTCCAGAACCTCAGTCACGGAGAGGCCTTTCTGTTGCTCCAAAGCAGCGTGGGGGGCAGGGGAGGGGACTGAGGTGGGTGTGGCTTCCAGCGACCCCGCCCCTCACACTGCATTCGCCGCAACCGCAGGAGCTCCCCGAGGGTAGCACACTCATTGCTGCCAGTCAAATGGAGCTGATGTTGGAACGTCTGAAATTATAGAGAGTGAAGATTAGGAAAGATTAAACCAAAAACCAAAGAAAATGTTTTTCCATTATCATGATCTCTGGTCAATATCTGTTCAAAAGTGGTCCAAATGAGAAACAGGGGTGAAAGCTCATGGGCATAATTCTAGGTCAGTGTATCTAACCTTGAGTGAAAAAAGGGCATGTCTAATAATCAGCTTTACATTGAGAATAATGAATATTCAAGAGCCATGAGATCGTTATGGGATCAATGAGTGTTTGAGGTAAACGAGAAGTTCACTATTACTCATGAAGGAAAATACACATACGATACAATCACATTGATTTTTCAAAGCGACTTCAGTTGCGAACATGTTGTCAGAAAATACGCAGGTAACCATGGATATAAAGAGAAAGAATAGTAATGAAAATAACTGACATCTCCAGCTCCCAGACATTTCCATATGCTGCATATGGATCTTCAATACATCACTGTGGAGAGGATCATGTCAATCACAGATCTCCCATAGACACACACACACACACACACACACACACACACACACACACACACACACACACACACACACACACACACACACACACACACACACACACACACACACACACACACACACACACACACACACACACACACACACACACACACACACACACACACACACACACACACACACACACACACACGCGCATGTCAGAGCACAAGATAGGGTCATCAGTCAACTGCCAATCAATACACTGGCAAATCAATCAGACAGGAACTCCAATCTCCTGCAGTCAGTAATACGCCGACGGGACCAGCCCTTATGATCCATACCAGGGCAGGCGCGGCAGCTCCAGGGCTTATTAAAGGCTGCACAGTGGCAAACGCGCCGTTCATTAGAGCTGACTAAAATGTATATATTCTACAACGCTGTCTCGCTTTGTTTGTCTCCTGACTGAATGTGATCATCTGAATTCATACAATTTCACAAGTAGCTACAATATTCTGAATATCCATTCGCCTTAAGGCTGTGTGTCTTCCAGGGCCTGTCCATACAATATTTACAGTAGACACAAGGGACTTTCCATACAAGATATTTCTCAACAATTTGATACGATTCATTAAAACATAAAGACTCACCCCTTACCTAATGCTCCGCCCCATTTTAACAACAATACAGGATTATTGGTCCAATTTTCTTTCAAACTGAAGATGAATCAGTTTTGGTTTTGTCTCTGGCCATTACAAAATATTACTACATCAAAGAAATGAAATAATCCAAAACTATTTACAAATGAATTTCAAGAAATGTATATGACAACTAAAAACACATCAATATTACGAAATAAAAACATCTATAGTCCATCAGAGGTTTCCAGTCGATCAGGGAGCGTATTGACACGGAGAAGCTGCCTCAGCCTGACCACTTCCTGTTTGACTTATCACGCACAGACATACATGTATCGCCGGCTCCAAACTCTACGCACCTAATCCATAATTTACAGTGTGCTGCCAGGCTGCTCCCTGCGCTGGCGCCATGGAACAGCAGCTCCGAGAACAGTATGTCCTCCGCCACAATCATGCACAATTACAGCCAAAATACAAATACACACTTTTTAATCAAGCAGACCGTGTGCCGCAGCGGAACAATAATAATGTTGGATTGAGAAGTAGGCTTTGGTAGATACAAATACAAAATAGACTTCAATCAATCCAGTTGTGTTTGGAGCCATAGCTTCAATGACAGCAGATTATGTAGACGTCAATAACTGTTTAAGATCTGTTTTGTAACGGCACCCGGAATACAATGGTCTAATGATTTTGGCGTCGCACCCATGTTTCTCCATCAGCTGAATAGATCATGTGTAGGAGGAGGGCTGCGGTGGTCCAAAAAAAGTCAGACTGTGCAATATGAAACCACATGTGTCCACTGTCACTTTACTTTACACTTACTCAAATCATCTGTGCAAAAATGACTTTGATAATGTCAGAATGTACAATATAGAACCACATGTGTTACTGTCAGTTTGCCCCATATTCTCATGATGCTAACATGTACAGATGTAAACATACAAATATATATTTCTTGCTCTAGAATATACACTATTTTATACTTGTTTCTTTATTATGCTAAAGTTGGAGATTGTAGATTTTCTTCCATATTATGCTAAAGCTAGAGATTTTATACTTGCTTCTTTTTCATGCTTAAGTTAGATATTTTTTTTAATTTTAGTATAGAGTTGTTGTTCACTTATTTTTTGTTGTGTGCTCCTCAATCCACTGTTCTGTAACCGGTGATGCAACACTGAAATATCCCCACTGTGGGACAAATAAAGAATCTCTTAATCTTAATAAGTGTGGACCAGTGGTGTGTGCTGTAATTGATGTGTTTATGGTTTCAATTTGATTTCAAACTACAAGTAAATTCTTCAGTCAAGAGAAACACATTCCATCAATGACCAAGATATTCTTCCCATAGTATTTCCAGCTTGCATCCTTTGGTGTTCATTTAACCAATTTCGGCGGCCAAATCCACACACAGGTAGGAATGCGGCTAATTGAGGGACATTCTGGGTCATGCCGTGTTTCCCATCTTATAAATGAGAACAGAGAGATCTTCCAGAGAACACAAAATTAACACAAGAAAGAGCTTTTTTTATGCAAGATGGCGTGGCATTGGTAATGTGTGACTATGGTAATAAAGAACCCAAAATGAATGATGATATTTTTGCCCACAAAGACGTAAATAATAATAATAACAAAGAAGAAAAATAGAACTTGCAAATGTTTCTTTTAAATGATAGTTCCTGTTCCCCTAAAAATTTAAAGGAACAACAATGCAAATTTAAGAGAAAGAAACAACGGGTAGGAAAAACCAAACGGGGAATTCCAGACCGTCATAAAATAATAAAAAGAATGAGGAGGAAGCAGAGACAAGGAAGTAGCGATAGCAGTGGTTTTCACAATTTAAATGAGGGAATCAAAACAGACACATCACTCTTATTTTTACAGTTTGCAGCTGCATCAAATTAAGAAGATCTGGCGTCTCCAATTTTTTTGTTTAATTCACGAAAATCACTGCTGTTCTGAATGGAGAGGAGCGGAATACACTCACCAATCCCTACACTGGACAGAGCTGGAGATAGCCCCCTGTGCGCCCCGAGGCTGTGTTACAGGGCCGCCCCCGCTCCGAACGGAGAGAAGTTGAGATGACCTCGCTGGAAGATAAAGCATCGGGTGTGAGCATGACAGTCGGGCTCATTTTTCCCCCCATTTATTTATCTATTGAGTTAGGACAATGCACATTCATCAATATTGGTGCCTTAAGCGTCAGTGTAAATCCGGCGGACTTAGCATAACTGCTACGTTTCAGCCGTAGTCCCAAGGCAGGTTTGTCGGCAACATAGACACAAAAGACTTTAAAACCTCGCAACGACAAATGATACAACGCAAACTTACAAAACAGAACACAGACGGACAGTATCACGGTGAAGCAGACACAGACGGTCAAAATAAAACAGATCATTTTGAACATAGAAATTCTCATAACACATAAGAGGGTCTCAGTTTTCTGTAGGGCTTTTAAGACACTGACCAAATGATTAACATACAAGAATGGACTTGTCAGCGACCTCGCACCTATGCCAGTCACTCAAAGCAATAAAACGGTGACACCAGAGTGAACCGAAGCCTTTGCTGCAGCTCCGCTAAGTGCATTAAGTAGCATGTTGAACTGTGTGACATTATTGACACGGGAGAATGAGTCGTACAGGCCTCGCTCAGAAATGATGGGAAATTAGAGGAGCAGCGTGGGATCGATGAGGATTGACCAGTCTTTGTTTAACACATTAGTAGAAATAATAAACTAACAACGCTTGCATGTATGGATTGCGATGTCAATTATAATAATATATACTGCAAAAAAATATAGAGTATTTTTATCTGAATTTGAGTACATTCTGACTGTCCTAAAACAATATTTTACCAATGGGACAAAGCCAGTCTTATTTCAAGAACTCATTCCAACAGAGACATTTCTTGTAATGTGCTTGTCTCATTGGCAAATCCTCATTTAAGGCCGTCAAAATGCTCGTCAAAGATACATTTTACCAATTTTGAGCAATTACTGACTTATTTCTCTACACTTTTTGCCGTGTAAGCTGATATGGTTGTCTGGGTTACGAAAGTAGTAATCTCACTATATGTTCTTGAAGTAGAAGTGAAAATAATACTGTATCTCTAAAAAGACAACTGTTTTTATACTATTATTTTAGAAGTCTTATTTCCAACATTAACCTAAGGCACTTGTTTATGATCAACTTAAGAGTATGGTTCAGTTCCTTGGTTGATTTAAAAAAAAAAGAAGCTAATTCTGTTCCACATTAGAGTTTAAGTATCTCTTTTCCCAGACTGCTGTGAATGCGGTGCTTGTGTTTTGGCCCTGTGATCACCAAGGGCACGTCCTGAGGTAAGTCATTAGCAGCCTGACATTATGCGGCCGGTTTGTGCGCCTGGATGTTCGGTTTGACGGCGTTCATGTGACTGTGTGCAAGTTAAATTCAATCCAGTAACCGTACACCTGTCTTTGAAGCCGGAGAAAGCTCACGTGTCAGGAGCCTTACAAAAGGTGGCCACTTTCTGCTCCGGCTCTAAATGTCAACAAGTCCAGAAACAAAATGTCTCTCTGCTATATTTGCTCAAGCGGGATGGGTAGTTAACAAGTCCTTCACTGTGCCACTGATGTAATTAGTTCAAGTAAAGACACAGACAAGAAAAATTTAAACTTAATTCATCAATATGAATATGTTTTATTATGTTTTAGTAGGTAATTATTTGTGGCAGTACACGGTTTCAGTAAAAGTTGCTCCTATTTAGTACCAGCATTCTATTCATAGTTTGAGAGTGAAAATATATATTACGAATTACAAATTAACGAATTTTTTAAGAATTATTAATACAAATTTGATTTTGATTAGTTGTGAATACAAAGCTTCTTAATAGGCATTTGAGATGATTTAAAATAAACAGAAAAACACTCAAATTTCTTTAGCACAACCTTTACATATGCACAATAGACCCTCCTCTGTCATAAATGTGTCTAAACGTGTTTCAGTGAGAACTTCTTCATTGAAACAATCCATCCCACCTTACAGTACATTGTGAAGCGCTTTGGCTGACCTTGGTCTGTAAACATGTGCTATATAGATAAAGATGACTTACTTTCTTACAAATGTAGCATAAGGGGGTGATTAGACAGCTTAAATACTGTGCAGGCAAAAGATGTTCAGTTTTCACTAGCTAAAGGAGACTAGAAAACCAGTCTCTATCTGGTGGGGCCGCACATTTCCACACACGTTGCAACACTTCACAAGTTGTTGAGTGTGGCCTGTGGAATGCTGACCCACACCTCAAAGTGCAAAGTTGTCGGACATGTCACCCATTGAGCATGTCTGGGATGCTTTGGATTGCCGTATAGAACAGTGTGTTCCAGCTCCTGCCAATATCCAGCAACTTGTCACAGCAATTTAAGTTGATTTGAGTTGAGTGTTTAATTTATTTCGAGTTCACTGTATATCAAACATTATGATATATTTTTTAATTGTACATAATCATATCCTGCACAGACTACATTTTTAACCTTAACATGTTGCACACTTCTGTCTTTTGCACAATCTGAGTGATTCTATCTATCTTATCTTATTATCAAATGTCACTGTACAGAATTTTCTAACGTATAATTCATTAACAATCACTGATTACAATATTGTACATGATTCAAACTCAAAAAAGGAGTGGGAGGAAGAAAAAACAGATTCCCACCCCTTGAGTGGAGCAACATTCCACAGGCCAACCAACAAGAAAACTCTATCAAAGTGTTGCAGTGTGAGGAAAATGATTGCAAAGGTCCAAAAACTCATATCAACCCATAAAGACATAGTGTTGTCAGTTTGACGAGGACAAGAGACAAGTTGGGAAGTTTTTTCTGCTATACTGTTTTTTTTTCTTTTTTAATATTTGTATTGCCGTTTGCATGTGTTTTTACAGTGTGTTTTAATTGGTTTTAAATGCTGTCAATGTGAAGCACTTTGGGTATCTTCCTGTATGAACTGTGTTATGGAAATAAATAGTTGATTGATTGATTTATTCTGCGAAACCATTTTTTCCCTTGTTTTATTTATGTACTCGTCTCGTGCACACTGGGGACTTTTGCAAATGTATTCAAATGTCGTTTTACTGCAAATGGCGAATAGAATGAATCTGATGCTTTGAGTGTCCAGGCAACGTGATGGTAAAAAAACACAAGAGAGAAAAGTCCGATGAACGGGAGCATGTGCGTTACCTGCGTGTGGTGGCTGTCCATGTGCCGCTGCAGCGCGCTGGAGTTGGACTTACTGTGCGAGTCTTCTTCTAACGACCCTGAGCGTACAATGAGAGAAAGATGTTACTAATAGCGAGCGTGACTCTACATCCCACACTCCACAAAGCAACGACTCAAGGACGCGCTTCAAACTGCGTCAAACGGGATATAAAAAAAAACACGCACTTCTACTTCAGGCTTTCATTGGTCTGTTTGAGATGTGCGTCAGCGACAGTCATAATAGATACATATATTTTTAGATTGTTGGTACCGTTTGAGATCTGGTTGCCGTTCTCCATGGTTGCGGAGGTGGTGGAGTGGGGGGTGTGGTTGTTGGCGTTTTTGTCCTGCAGCTGAGGAGACGGTGAGGTGGGGGCGGAGCCATGTTCTTCTCGCCCTGGTAGATTGATGTTTGAGTTGAATCCTAGAGATACACAAAAGATTATGAGACGTTCAATATTTCATTTCAATTCAATTTGTTTTTGTACAGCCCTAAATCAGCAGTCGTCTCTGAGGACTTCGCCAACAACAAAACACATTGTATTTCAGAAATGTATATTGCTGCTAGTTTCTATAATTATAGTTATAGTTGCTTGTTTCTTTCACAGTAAAAAAATAGGTAAGTGACTTACAGACAATGATAATAAAAAAGAATTATCAAAACTGCATAATAAATGAATGATTCAGGAAACATTCAGTTTTGTCGAATACGATGTTCTTCAGCAGTGATAGTTGTCGAGCTTTCTACTCTAGTTTAAATACATATTATCTGGGTTATGTCAGTGGTGTTCCTATTTCTTAACTAGTTCATATTACTACTTTTTCACATTATATATATATATTAGGGCTGTCAAAATTATCGCGTTAATGCATGTTAATTAATTTTTTTCAATAATCGCGTTAAAAAAAATAACGCATTTTTTTTTTGAAATTTATTTTGAAATTTTGAAATGTATTTTGAAATGTCCCTCATCTGTAAAAAACAATGGTTTTGGTCTGAGTCTAAACAGAAAGACAGAATGTTAATAATGTTAATTCCATTTTATATGGATTTATTGTTATAACAAACAAATACAGTACGTATGTTCACTAAGCTGACATTTATCTTTCCATTCAAACAATAATTTACAGAAAAATATGGCATAATTTTGCCAATAGTTTGAATTGGCAAAATTCAAACTAGGGTTAGGGTTACGATTAATTAATTTTTAAGCTGTAATTAACTCGATTAAAGAAATTAATTGTTTGACAGCCCTAATATTAGGGCTGTCAAACGATTAATTTCTTTAATTTAACGCGTTAATTACTATTATTATACGGCTCCTCACAGCAGCAGTAGAATGCTCCATTGATTTAAATGTAATTTCAAAACGTTCTACCGGTCATTATTTTCTATAACGGACCTCTCAAAACAATAATGACCGCTGCCCATGGCAACGCACTCTCTGCTTGTCTTTCAAATGCGTGGATAACTCCGCAAGTAGGTCCGGCCACTCCGGAGCTAGCCACGCTCAATCAACACACTTAAATGTTAATCGGAGAATACTTATACATATACATTCTTCACACACGTGCACGGAAATTTTCAGAATTTTCTGGTCTTGTCTTCATGACAAAAATACTATTTCTCTGCGTCAAAAAGCGATCGTGAAAAACCAGGAAGTAGTTCCAGCCGCTCAATAAACGCAAATGCCAATCAATCAACGCAATACAATTTTAATCGGAGAGTAATTTATACATATCCAGTCTTAATACAAGTGCACGGAAGTTTTCAGAATTTTCCGTTTACGTTTTTATGACAAAAACACTGATGTAATGCGAGAAAAGACGATCCCGAAAAACCATTTGCAGAGGATCGAATTATGGATTTAGGTTAGGTTTATGTATGGGTCACTCACCGCTGATGTTCAGAATTCAGAATTCAGAATTCTGTTCAGTTTTCATGCAGTTCCAGAGAGTTCTAGTTTGGAAGTTGCCAGCCTAACTGTTGCTAGCATAGCCACGGGAAAGCCTTTGGGAACTATTTTATTTTCTGTCATTAAAGTGATAGTCTGTAACTCTAAATGAATAAAACATTTTAGGAAATGTGTTAAATTGACCTCCTGGCCTTAAATGTTGATATAAAATAATAATTTTTATTAATTCTAATATTACGGGCAAGTCCCGCCTTCCCTGCTCTTAGCTATAGTTCAGAATCCACGGTGCCGTCGAGGTTAACCAATCGAGTCATGCCAAGGGCTGTCAATCATCGACGCTGATGCTCGCAGCTGCGCGCATGCGCAGTTGTTTGTTTTCGCGGAGCCTCTATTAGGCTCATGGATCTATTATAGGCTCTGGAACTACATGAAAACTGAACAAAGAATTCTGAACATCCGCGCTGAGGTACTTATGTATATACTGAACCTATATCCATAATTAGATCCTCTGCAGATGTGTCCTATAATGTGCAATTCATGATAATAGCACTTCCTGGTTTGCCGCGATCGCTTTTTTGTGTGCATAAAAACATATTTTTTTTCATTAAAACGTTCACAAATAATTCTGAAAACCTCCGTGCATGTGTATTAATAATGTATATGTATAATGTGTTCTCTGATTAACATTTCAAAGTGTTACGGAAACGTAGGTGTAGACCAATCAGAAAGGAAGGGGGAGGGAGCTTGCGTCGTTTTTTTCAAATCAAGTACCTCTCTGTCTCTCTTTCTGACAAACTCCAGACAATCACTTTAAATAAACCTTTCAGCATTCCTAAAAGTGGACTGAAGTTTATGTTGTGTGTTCTGTTGGTATAAAGCCGTATAATAAGCGGGATAACGAATATTACGCAGGTCATTATCGGAAAATAAGTACTTTCAGGGCGGAAGCAGACCCCTCGGGGTCGGGGTCGCGTCGGGGTCCGCTTCGCCCTGTCGGTACTTATTTTCCGATAATGACCTGCGTTAAATAAGTTATCCCTTACATAATTAACGCCACAAAATTAGCGCGTTAAAAAAAATTGACTAATTTTAATCGCATGTGTATTTGCCACCGCGGAACGTTCCTCACGAATGAGTTTCAGACGGACCGTTTATATATATTGTTCAAAAGTAGATTATAACGAGCATAGAGGACTATGGACTGGGGTCAATGCTTGTAAAGTTTAACATATGTCTTCACCATGGATCTACAGTATAATAATACGTCTTCAACCTGAGTTTCTACTAAGACTGTAAGTGCCGCTACAGAACGAAAGTTACGAATGTAACTACAGATTCTATGAATCCTGGATGACCGCCAGAGGCGGTGCTTAAATGCAAATTATTTCATAAATCATGCAGTTTTGCATGCACATCAACATACATTGTAGATATAAAGAATCCTCAATATATTTAGAAATAAATATGTTTTGCATTTTTGTAGTAGGTAGATCATTTTGACTTGATCCTTTTATAAGTAGCTCGCATGCTGAAAAAGTGTGAGCACCCCTGTTTTAGTCCGACTGCACACATCAAAAACGTATTATAAGCTTTTGTACTCACTTCGAGTGCAGTGGAGTTTGGGCTTAAGAAGTGTATCTTGTTATCAGTGTGTGTGGAGGCAATGACAGAAACGTTATTTGATGGAAAGGAGTCCGTCTGATCCTCCACAATGAACATGTGTTGCTTAAGCTTATGTATTCAGTCATTATTCAATGGTAAACTAAAAATCCATGTGAAAAAAAAATACTTCTCACTGTTCTCAGGACAAATATTTATATGCGGTTAAAATGCGATTAATCGATATTAATTAATTACAAAGCCTCTAATTAATTAGATTTTTTTTTTTTAATCAAGTCCCAGCCCCAATATATAAATATATATATATATATATATATATATATATATATATATAAGTTCTTAGATCACTTGTTCAAAGCCTGGTCAAATTTACTTTAACACAGTTTTATCCCAGCTGGGTCAGTTTTCTGTCATAAGTTATTCACACAAATGGTCAGCTGTTACATACACATCTTGGTCACAGCCACAACAACTCAAATGTAAAAATAGACAGCACAACTGTAGTCTCCTGGGAGCCCTTTGTGTCTTTGAAACAGCTGGCGGACTTTGGGGTTCATGCGAGGCTTCTATACTGAAAAGACCCCAGTAACAAGAGGATCTGGAAACATGCGCTAACTCCTCTTTATTTTACCATTTGTGGAATTTTTAGGAGTTACCCCGTCGATGACAATATCTCATGACATAAGTTTATGAGTTGCAAACGCCTGCCGGGAGACCACCTGTCTGGCTTCTCCTGAGCCTTCCTGTTTGCTTCGTTCTCCTGGGGATGAAGAGAGCCATGAGGGGGAAGCCGGATTCAGCTGCTCTTTACAGGGATGTCTGGGATAGCGACTGTAACCTCTGCGCCCTCCCTCCGCATCAGGTATCACACAGGGCCATTTAACAGCCGAAGGGGGGGACGGAAGTAGGCCATCCTGCTAAGCCCTCTGGCATCTCGCTGCTCTGTGATCTAAGTGGGCCGCTTTGCTTTGCCCACTCAGAATAACGCTAAGGTTATGAACCCCAGTGCCAGCTTGCTGTTTCCATGACGCCAGTAGATTGTTTCTTGAGTGCTGACGAAGAGTGAATCGCAGGTTGTCACGTGAAAGTATTTGTCAGCGTATGCGCCTGTGCTCTCATGCCGCTTCTTATAAGGGCTTGAGGCTGAAGTGTAGTTGACCCTGCTGCTTTCACTGACTGTCTGAACGCAACTAAGTATGTCTTCATCATTTAAGTGGTTGTATTGTAGCTATTGACCAATGGAGAATGGAACTATATCCTACTCTGAATCTTATAGCTTACAGCTTCTCAACTGGTGGGTTGGAGGATACTTTTGAGTGGGTTGCAAGCCTTTCCTGGGACGTTTTTAAAAGATGCACCGACAACGCTGCAAAAAAGTAATCTCGAAGTAAGACATATTTCTGGTATTAAAAATACCCTAAATTTAAGAAACGTTTCCCTTTAGGAGCCAGACCTTTTTCAGAATTTCAACGTCAAAACAGAGGTGGAGCCCAGTAACAAAGACATAGAAAATGTATGAAAAAATTTAGGGAAACATGGAAAGCCTGGCTGCTGTACAGAAAAGTGTCCTAGATTCAAGAGCGACTGATAATTTACTTGTCATAAAATGTAAAAATCTTTCAAAAGTCTTTGTTAAATCTATTTCCTTGATTCCAGAAGCTGTTGGAGTTACTAATTTTGACTGTATTATTATTCAATACGTTTAAAACCTTTAGTGAAAATTCACAGAATTTTACAATATCTAAATACTAAATCCTGTTCATATTTAGGCTGCAGCTTGGCATTACCAGTTGGTGGTGGTACACTGTTACACTGTTCCAGTTGAGAAGCACTGTCTCAATATCATACATTCATCTGATGGAAGACTTCTCTATTGTGTCCTGGTATGGATTTGTATTATTTTGAAATTGGACATATTTTGTCATCAGTTGTCTGGTGTCTTTTTGTATCCATTTCCTGTTCCCGTGTAGATTGTCTGCCATGCCCTAAAGAGTTTCACAGGTGTGGACGTATACAGCAGGATTTTCCTTCCCACGCCTTGTTTCCGACTTCGGTATTTTAGGTTTAAGTTTTTTTTTTACGACGTTTTCTTTCATTATAATACTATTTTCAGTCCTGCATTTTGAGTTTTACTGCCTGTTTCAATTCCTGACACATTGTCATTGTTTTGGGACAATATGCACATAAAAAACAATTCTATGGCATATTTTACTGTATGAGATTGTCTGTGATTTTATGAAACTTTGATCAAGCATAAGATCATTTGAACATTTATATTTATAGACGCAACTCAAAGTAATGTCTTTGTGGGTTCAAACCTCTGACCCTCCCAATGCATTTACTGGTGCGTGAAAAATACATTTGTCCCCCTTTTAGAAAGGTCAAGCTTTACATCAGTGTCAAAATGTGTATGTGCACTGCATGTAGTGGATCCACCTCCAAACAACCTGGCCATAAAATGCTTGCAGTGTCATGTGAAGCTAAGTGGGCTGCACCACCTACCTCATTAAGTAACATGGAAGAGAGGAACCGCGGCAGCGAACAAAGGGCACACATCTAAACAGGATAACTAATAGACACTCTCATATGGGCCAAATGTGATGACCTGCTGCATTAGTTCAATTGATTACAGGAATTTATGATTTCAAGAAAGCATCTAGAACAGGGTCTCCAAACTTTTTCACCCAGAGAGCTACTTTCTCAGGACTAGAATGACACAGAGCTACTCCTTTTAACGTCCCAGGAAATAGAGTCTATTGAACGTTGATAGCGTCAGCGAGCCTTGGATCGGGTGCTGTTACTAACAACAGACATAATTTCTCATTTATTATGTTTTTAGTTTTCATTTACTGAAGTTGTGGCCATAATATTTATGTAAAATATATATCCAGTGATGAGCTACTGGTAGAAATGATTGGTTCCTAGTTAAGCTGACATTTGTTGATCTAAAAAACAGACGTGTGCGATGCAGTACGCTAGCTGACACTCAACAGAGAATATTGGACCCCGAGTCTATAGTCGCCTACAGCTACACTCCACTCTGCGAGGTAATCACAGAGAGGCCCATAAATCATAAGCTACACTGCAGACTGAGGATTTCAACATCACTCATCACCAGGAAAACAACAAATAGCAAAAACATAATGAACTTCAGAGATGAAACGCAATTAAAACACATTATTCTCATTGTCGTCCTCTAATGTTCGGTAGTTTATTGCGTCTGTGTGTGGGTTAGGGTTAGGGTAGTAACAGTGACAAACCTCCATCCCTCATCTTGCGGCCAGTGCTGGACTTCTTCAGGAGGCTGCGTCCAGAGCTGAACAGTGTGTTGAGTTCGTCTAGCGGACTGGTGAGGGGTCTGCCGTTGGCTGGGTTGAACAGGAGGGGCGAGGAAGAGCAGGAGTGCGCCCGTCGAGGCTCTGGACGGGAGGCTTTGACGGGTGAGTAGGGCGGCGGCTTCCCCTGGGGCTCCACACCTGTCCTTTGTGACACTACACTTTTAGGAGAGTCCGTGCTCAGAGATGACGCTCGGGTCAAGGACAGAAAATTGGCATCGGGCGGAAACGGGAAGTGCGACGGCGGTGGTCTGTAAGGTGGCGGGGGTATGGCGGGGGGAGGCGGCGGCGGCGGGGGGGTCAGTGGAGGAGTGGGCTTCTTCTCTGACAAGAGGACGGTGAGGCTCGGAGAGGAGTCGGCCCGTTGGCGTGAGTACTGAGGAGAAATGGGGCTGTCTGGACCCGTGGCATAGTTTAAGTTGGTCTCAAAAACGGGGAGCTTCTTGACCTCGAGTGGGGTCAGAGGCGACTCGTCAGAAGCTGGGGAGCAGGTAACGGGTGAGGGGGGGAACACCAGGAGCGGCGGGCGGTGGGGGAGCAGGTTTGGGAAGGGCGCGGGGATGTCGCAGCTGCCATCTTTTGCATGTTGTGGCATTGACAGCCCATTGTTTGAAGTAGACTGAGGCTGAGAAGGTTCCATGGTGTTTAACCCAGCCCCACTGCGTCTGCTTTCACCTGTTTGACCAAGTGACAAATTTAATCCTACAAGTCCCAAACTAAGTGCCTCAATTTTAGAAGCTTTTTTCATGACAGGGGCAGGTGGTCCCCCGTCATCAGGGAGAACATATTTCATCTCCTCGTACACAGACTCAGAGTCATTCAGATCAGGGCTATCCGGCGGCTCCTGGAGACTACGAGAGCGGGCCCCAAACATCTCTATGTACACATCTTCCTCATCATGGCCCTGGAACAGGCTCAGAGAGACCCCCTGTGGAGCTTCTATGGAGGCAGCTTTCTGCAAGAAACCACCAAAACCTCCAGCACGAGAGAGCAGGGCCAGCTTTACGTCGGCCGGCCGCAGCTGTTGGAGTTGAGGGGCCACCTTATTGATATCCTCGTAAGAGCCAGATAGCTTTGTGTTGGGACTGCGTTTTGGTTTCGGGGGTGGCACTTTCCTCATAGTGGTGTAGTCATCACTATGTGGGCGGGGCTTGGCTGAGAAAATATCAGAAAATAAATGGTCAGCATGTCCTATAGGCTATAGCTATTGATTATTCTATATTTGATTAATCCGGTAATATATGAACTATTTTACACCCTCAAATATATACAATTCATAGTATGTAGTCTAGTACAAATCTTAAAATACCATTTTCCTAAAATATCAAATCCGTCAACAGAGCAGTGTTGGCACCCGGAAGAGACATTCCCAAGTGCTGGAATTAATACAGTGCAATTAATATGCAATAGTTTAATATATTTTGAAGTAGGTAAATAAAAGGAATTGTAATCAAAGCATATTTTACAATTATTTGACCTATTAGATTAATTGTTCCAGTCCTAATTGATACTCATATATTAAACAAATATAATAGAAAAAAAAGTAATTAATAGAAAGATAGTAACACACTTTTTCCAGTCATTTTCTCTGTGGCTCATCCACGTTTGCAGTGACTGTCAACGACTTTTGAAAGTGGCTCAAATCAATGACCATCTGTGCATGTGGAGTGGAGGTGTGGTACCTGCGGGGTCTGTGGGGGACAGCTGGGACTTGGGGGGGCTTCCAGCTGGTGAAGCATAGCCCTCTGGAGTGGGGCTCTCTTTGGCCGACATGGTCAGGCCTGCACTCACAGCCTCATAGGATGCACTGAGGCGCGTGTTGGGGTCTCTCTTTGGTTTGGGAGGGGGCTGTTTACGTGGAGAAGAAAGTCCAGCGCTACCAGACACCTCCTCCTGTTGCAGAGCGGCTTTGACCGGAGGCGTGTTGCTGCAGTGAATCTCCATTGCGAGCGGGATTGGCACAGAACTGGACCGAAAGTGACGGATGAATCGAGTTCCCCCATTCATGGAACTGTCTGGGACCTTTCCATTTTTCTCAATGATTCTGAAAACAAATACATCCACATGTAATCCATATTTTTAATCCCTATTTTTTAACAAACATTTACACTTACAAGTCTCTAGCACAGCAAACGGGTTACATGTCTCATCACCAAGATCTAGTTTAAGTAAAGAGTCAATCTGCTTCAATTCTAGAGTCAAGATTATCTGCTAAGAAAGCCAATTGGTGAATAAAGAGTAGAGATTATGCTAACTAATCTTCTTGCAGTAACTTGATAACATCCAGTTTGATATTTCCGAGACTAATCCGAACGAGCCATCTGTGAGTTCCACAAATGCAGGGGAGGGGGGGGTCAGGGAGGGGGTGGATTCTTTAGGTTGAATTGGATGTTTGTACTGTGCATATTAAGCAGCTGCGGTGAAATTATTAACACTATAGGTTTGTGTATTCTTAGCGTGAATCTGGCGGTTAATATACAGTAATATTGGTAAATTGCAGCTCGATGTAAGAAGAACCAGCACCTCCCATCTCTGACCGCAGTGACACCCCCTCCTGCTAAAGCTCCCAGGGTCATGTCGCCTGCCGGCAGCAGATGTTGCAGTGAAACTCCTTTGAGACTGTCCTATTCAATATTACTCGACTATATGTTATATTCTAAATGAATGTAAACAAATACATTTTACAAACACGTTGTTAAAAAATGACATTAAAGTTGTTTCTATCTCCCTCCCCTCAATGTTTACCAGGTACCAGGAGCAATAAAAATGGAGCATTAATAGAATAAATTTGACATCTCTAAAACATTAATCTTGCAATTAGATTAATAAACAAGACATTTATTAATATTAATAAAAGATGATTTTCAAAATGAAGGTGATTTCTTATCCCTTTAATATAATAGTGTTTACCCTTTTGTGTCAGTCTGTAGTGTTATTCAATTTCCCCCTGGTGCAATACATTACATTACAATGAGGAGAGGCGGAGATAAGGATTGCTTTCCATATGTGCAACACAATCCTTATACCATCTGATAATGCACCTCATTATCTCCCTATTCATCATGTGCGTTACAATTGAAAAGCTTCGGCACACAGGGATACGGTGACATTTCAAAATGCATCCTCACACACACACACATTTAAACAGTGCACACATGTTAATGAGAGTAAACTCTCAGTCTTTACAGTGAGAGAGGAACAGTGTTGGGAAAGTGAAACGTCTTTAAAGGAATAGTTCACCGTTTTTACATACTGACATATGTTCTTACCTTACCTTAGACTAGTTAATACGTACCTGTCTGGTCTTAGTCCATGCGCTCTGTCATGCAAACGGAGCAAAAACGGGAGCACAAATGCAGCCTCCTCTGTATATTTTGTAGCACCAAAAGGTAGCTCCCGCTAGAAGCTACCAAACTCTTCCAAGTGTTCCCTATTAAATGTATATAGTTACGTGACGTGTTACACTGCAAAGTATAGTAACACAGAAATGTAACAGTCGATTTTCTCAGCGGATAAAACGGGTACTATATTGTGAGGCGTAGTAATCTGAGGTGCGCTACGTCCGCGCACTAACTTCTCTCCGTACTACAAGTCACGCTGCTTCTATTGACGGAAGTGAGCGAGAGAGAAGTCTCCGGAGAGAAGTTAGTGCGCGGACGTAGCGCACCTCAGATTACTACGCCTCACAATATAGTACCCGTTTTATCCGCTGAGAAACTCGACTGTTACAATTCTGTGTTACTATACTTTGCAGTGTAACACGTCACGTAACTATATACATTTAATAGGGAACACTTGGAAGAGTTTGGTAGCTTCTAGCGGGAGCTACCTTTTGGTGCTACAAAATATACAGAGGAGGCTGCATTTGTGCTCCCGTTTTTGCTCCGTTTGCATGACAGAGCGCATGGACTAAGACCAGACAGGTACGTATTAACTAGTCTAAGGTAAGGTAAGAACATATGTCAGTATGTAAAAACGGTGAACTATTCCTTTAAGTATTCATGAAAATACAAAACTGATGCATTATTAACATTATAAAAAAGACTCCAGGTCAAGCCCGAAAAATGCAAACAAATATAACTTATAAACAATGAATACATGTTTCATGTGGGGTTTCTTTGTTGCCCTGGATCTGAGTGTAATCATGCATCAAAGTAAAACCTGATCACTCTGAGTACTTTCCTCACTGACCTGCGCACCGGTGGCTCCTCCTCTTTTCCCACTGGCTCGGGCCGTTCTCCGAGAGGCGGGCTGCTTGTCAGTGTGCTGACCACGCCGTTGCCATAGCAGCGAAGGCGGTCACTCTCACGTGAAATGTCAGCAGCATTTTGGATCACCAGCTGGTCATATGTTCGTAGCCCCATGTCTTCTGCCCCCTGGAAGAACTGCTGCACTGTGTGCTCTTCTGTTTGAAGTAGAACCAGTCTTTTGCGAACCCGGCGTCTGGCAAGCCAACCTCGAACAACTATAAAGAAAACAACCATTTTCATAATTTAACAGTATTGGTAATTATTGGAAGTAAAACAAAAAATAAACTTTGTTTTTACCTTTTTGACATGAGATTATCTTCTTTTGAAAGTGGTAGCAGCGGTCATTCAGCTGATCTGCTTGCCAGTATCTCAGAAAAACTTTACTGCTGCCCATCTATAACACACATTTTCCATTTCTGTTAAAACATTAAGCTAGTTGCACACTCTCTAAAGAGTCTGACAGCTTCTGAATCTGAGGAGAAAGTGGCTGGTGGAGCAGTGAGTGAGTAAAGATGATTGGTTGGAGTAGGCTGGAGGTTTGCCATATTATCAACTCCTGAATGTAGGGGCTTTCTGAGCTGCAACAGATGTCCATCCACACCAGGTGCACAGTCGACTGGGGGTGACAGACAGACGGATGGACACAATACATTCTGACACATGCCGCTTGTAAGAAGTGTTTGTGTTCAGAGCAGAGTTGTATAGAAGAAGTCTGAAGAAGCTTTGTAGAGGAGCGTGCGTGTGTGGGACAGGAGCGCAGTGTGACCTGCGGAGGTCACAAGCTCAGACACAACAGCAGTCTGCCAGACAGGACGGGAGGGGTAGGGGAGGCTGACGCGCAATGTGAGGGGAATGATGATGAGGTGAGACAGCTGGAACGAGTTGCCAAAGATTCCATAGGATCTTTTTAAATAGCGGGTCAAGGATTAAGTCATTCGGCAAATCTGCTATTGATAGAGACAGAAGGAAAGGCAGGGCATAGATATACACGGACCTGCCATCCTTGGAGTTTGCACTGCTGAAGCACCGCGCGGCATCTTTCTTCTGTGGATAACTTCTTCTTGTCCCCCATGGTGGGAATAACAAGGGGTTTATATCTGAAAAAAAACACATATGCAAACTAAACAACAAGTCAGTGGAGCCGCTGAGCATAACCCCGGTTTTCACTGAAACAATTCAGTTCAAGAGGTCAGCAGGGTCATACAGCAGAGTGCAGCATCTGCTCCTATTGGTGTTGCCCTGGACACCCGCTGCCGCAAGCACTGAGCTGGACCGAGACCGGAGTCTGGGACCTAAGAGAGTGACCAAAGGTTTGAGCTAACACCCATAACACATACAAGGCTCTAACTATTTGTTTTATAGTGTGATTAAGGATACAGAATGTTCTTTCTTTAGTAGTACCTAAGGTTCTCAACAAATAATACACTAATGATTTTCACACACACTCCACTTTAGTTTGGCACAAAGGAATCTGTGATACAATAGGTGTACGAGATCATTGAAAGTAGAATTTGTACACTTGTCAAGCCAATAAAGCTGACAGTTATTAGATACCAGTTCAAATGCTCCATGGATGTAATAAACAAAACAAAGCAAACTGTTTATCTGTCAATCAAGATCAAATATTTCAAATAACATGTTAGTAGTAGTAGTAGTATTCTGAACACAGGACGGCAGGGCATCTTCTGCACATAATATTTCCCTATACTACAAACATACAGTATGTTTATTTTATTTACTTGTTATAATGCTTTTAACATCACCCAATATCCAATGATGTTGTACCCCTTCAAAAGTAGGGCCAAATAAAGAATATTTCACATGCACTAATTCCATCATGAGGACTTGTTGAGTAAAGTGAATTGAGCCAGTCAGTTGTTAGCTCTTAAGTAATCAATAAGTTAGCAGCGTGCGATCAGGTGACACGTGCGATGAGACAAACATAAGCGGCAAATGACGGAAAACATAAACCGCTGGTGTTGCCGATAGCTAAGGAGCGAGTGGCGCTGATGTGGCCTATGTTTGATTTGCTGAAGTGGGGTCTGCCTGAACTCTGCCTCACCCTCTCTCTGCATAGTAATGGCGGCCCCGCAGACCGCACAAGCTGCCCCCCGGGCCCATAAAATACAAAAGGGACTCTGTAAAGCGCTGACCTTCCCACTGAGGATATGAAAACCATCGATGCTCCCTACTTTTACAAGACCCTGGGGAGCAGCATTAAGCGCCAAAGAAATGAAATAACCACTTTGATAACAGTTTAAATGTAGACTGGCAGGACACTAAAGTCCAGGGTGAGCAGTGATACGGAGCGTCACAAAGGTAGTAAAGGTGGGACCCAGGAATTTAAACCAGCTACTTAAGTACAGAGCCTGCTCCTGTCCATCAAAGCCTGTCTCAGAGCCATATGTTTACTGTGTGTCACCAGTGGGATGAACTCTCTTGACTATTCACGGTGTTAAGTGTGGAGGTTCATTTCCTTATGAATAGAAAAGGTGGCAGTAGATTTATAGACTGAGAACCTTTACAGGATTCATCATCAACTTCTCTTCGTGGAGATGTTGTTACTTAATACACTTAAGTTTCGCAAATTAGCTGTATCTCATGTGGTACTTGCATAAGATTATTACATGTTAATCTATGTTATTTGTATGTGTCCCAATCAAATAAACAATAAAGAATTTAGAATAAAGCAAGGAAGGTGAGTGCTGCAGAGCGTACGAGTGGTAGAAGGCTTAACAAACAGGTGCTCTTCAAAAACAGGGCAATCTAAGCAGATTTAGGATGTCGAAAAGAGAAAAAGAAGTCTGAGGCACTCTGTTGAAGTGAAAAAATAAAAGTCCTTTATTAAAATGGACTGCCTACGCGTTTCGATCAAAAGCGGTCTTTGTCAGGGCATAAATAACACAATAAATAATAAAAGAATTTAGAATGTTTCAGTTATTTATTTCTCTGTGGACTCAAGTAGAAGTAGAGTCAAGTAGAGCCCTTTTGAATATATGACCTATGATTGCTTTCTTTGTTTGATTTTATCATTTCTAAATTCAAGACAATCTTAAGAAATGTCACATATTGCACAGTGTAGCTTTAGTTTCTTACGATATAGCTCTGTAGATCAGATACAATCCTTTTCATACACATTGTTGTATCACTTTAAACTCAGACAATATTGAGGCCATATTTTAATACCATGACACATATAAGATGTAATACAAACTAGCATGAAATGGATACAAAGAATAATGTGTGGGCTCGTCGGTGACAGGTCCAATGAATACTGATGTCCTTTTCATCTGTTTGATAACAATAACGACATAAGACGTTCGCGAGCCGTTGGATTTACAGAAACCAGTTCAAGTGTTAGCGTTTGACCCCACGCATTGGCAGAAAATAAACCTGGCTGCGAAACACAAAGCGTATCATAAAGGACAAATAAAAACAACAGTAAAATAGATTTCCTCATAAATCACTCGGGTTACTGGACACTAATGTAATTCGCTCTGGGCGGCCACTCTGAGTTAGAGAGGTTGCTCGTGTGGTTCCAGCGTGAGCCTGTGCCTGTTTGTGCTAGTGACGATATTGTAACATCCAGATTAACTGCTGATATATTGACTTGTCATTTCCATTAGTGAAGAACCAGGGTCTTTTAGAAAAATGACAAATGAAGAAAATGATAGAAAAGAGAATTGATACGATAGAGCGACCATCTTTTGGGCGGTCACAGTGAGTTGCGAAAAATAAATAGTTTGTGTTTTAGTATGTGGGTGTAAATTAATTGAGCCGCTGCTTAGGATCTGAAGTGGTCTAGTGCTTATAATGTCCAAATATCAATAGATTTTTTTTCTTGATGGGTAAAATTAAAATTAAAAGTCAAATTTGTATGCCTTTAATACTACAAAATTCAGACATGTTTGAAAATACTTAGTTATAAGATATATGATATTTAGTCACAAAGGGCAAAAATAGTAATATATTACACCAACATACAACCATTCTACTCCCAATTGAAATCCAGGTGTGATTGAGGGGATTGGGATAACCACTCTGCAGAAGTATTTTGACATGAATAGGGTGCTTAAGCATTTCTGAGTTGCAGTACTTTACTTTAAATTTTTACTCCCAACCTTTAAACCCAATTATCCTACCCTGACTACTGGTAGTTTGCATTAGCTAACCTGACATAAAAAACAGGTTTGATGTGGTTAGCCATGCTTCTAGGAGAATTGTTTCTTCAGAGAACCATTAGGTAGCATTCACCCTAAGTGCTACATTTGTTGTTAATTGTAATATTCAGTGCCGATTTAAACATTTATACAATGTTATGTTTCTGAAATGCTATAATATCTCAAATAAATATAGTGTTTGTCTACTAATGAAAAGCTTTTATACTAGTATCTATACATTTAGTACCTAAGACTAGAACTATTGCCTCCTCTGCCAGTCTGTGATAAAAAGTAGTAAAAAAAGGAAGTCAAACAGCAGTACTAAATGTGGCTGACGTTTCCTGTGTTGAAATCAGCCGTCTCTTATGATGCCACATTATCTACTGGCCACACTCTTCCTGGCAAAGAGATTAACCCACATGGCTTCACTGCAATGCGCTCGTACGCTGAGCTGAAATGTTGGCTCAACTCTTTACACCTGGATTCTCCATTATAACTTTGATAATACGTTGGCTGGGTCTACAACAAATATCCATCAGAAACATAAAGCATGTAGAAAGATGGACTCCATTCTATTTTGAAATCACATCAGAGAAAGTATGTCAGCGAAGATTCAATTTCCTGTGTAGGGCCAATGATTTTTCATGCTAAGCTCTCATCTCTAACATATCAAATTTACTGCAATGCACAACAGACCATTATATCTGCTAGCATCCAAACATTTATCATCATGCATGTGACTTCAAAACATAAAGGTGTACACATCAGTCGAGTGGAAACTTTTGGGGATCATGTGACAAGCCTGTTTTCTCTTATTATCTCCCAGGAATGTTCACTTTAATCCCTTTATCCTCAAAAGGAAAGAGATGAAAACAGACAGCGGAGGGAGGGACAACAAAACAATGAGCTTTAAACTAATAGTGCGTGAAATCATCAAGAAGAAAAACAGAAAGAAGAAATAAATCAAATAGTATTGAGTGGATGAGAGAAAACGTTGTGTGCGGTTGACACTTAAGACATGACCTTTCGATCTCTCTTCTCAAGCTGGATCTGCATGTGTATTCCTGCAACTTACATTAAACTCTGTTATTTACTTGGCTTCTCACTCTTTTTATGAAAAACTTAAAGCAGTCAGAGAGACTTGACCTTTTCACAGAGTGCACTTATGTGCTGTTTACACAAGGACGCTGCGACCGTAAAACATTAGAGTTGGGTGTCGGTTTGGCCTTTCGTTTACATGAAGACAGTGTTTTCACATTCTCTCACGTCTTTGCCGTGGCCTGAAGAGGATGTTGTTGAAGAAGTGAATATACTGCTGGGGGTTGCATATGTTGTGTTGCAAAGTTTCACTGCCCACTTCTGAGCGGGCGCAAGAACTACATTGTTTTCTGTTGTTGTGTGGACGCTATGCACTTCGAATAAGGAGCCTGGTCCTTTTTGCTAATTGCTTTGCAGCGTCTCCGTCTATACAGGGCCTAAGTTCCGCTGCATAACGTTTGTCCTTATCTGACTTTAACCAAGATGGTGTCTTTGTACGAGGTATCTCTGTGTGTACACAGTAGTTGTACAACAACAACACAAATAAAACCATTTCACATTGGTGATACAAAAATGTGGTCTCCAGGGCAGAGAGACCTCACAAGTTTCCCACTGGTTCACATGTTTATTAAATTGATGAGAAAAATGTGTTTCATCATCTGAAATGACTTCCATTGGAGACAAAAAACTTTGAAGAAAAGGTCGCTGTGACTTGCTGATTCTGATACAACTATAACTGGTCATAATGTAGGATCAGCCTAAATGTACAGTTGTGTAGTGTATAAATAATCTTTCAGGAAACGGCGACTTGAATCATAATGCATGTGAAGTGTATATCTAGTATCTAGATAGCAGTTAATCATTGAACATGTTAAAGAGTCCTAAAGCTTTGAGTAACAAATATAGTGCTATTTTTTAGTTAGCAGTAGTAGTAAAAACAAAAACAATAATAAACAGGATTTTAAAAAACAGGTATGCAGAGTTTGAAAAGGGCTCTGACCTCTCTCACACAGTAACACAATGAAGCAGTACTCACCTGCTTAGGAAGCCCAGGAAGGACATTCGGACAGGATAGCCATAGCGGATCATGCGCACCATCTCCAACACCCCGATGTGTTGCAGCTGACTGGAAACATGGAGGCTGTCAAAGGCGTCTGGCTGACCGCTTGTGTTGGGACGGACACACTCCACAAAATGAGGAGTACAAGACTGGAGCTTACTGATCAACTCCGAGAATGAATTCTAGATGGAAAGTAGAAGACAATTAATGTACATGGCTTACCATAACCTTTATATTACTCAAACATGATTGACATTCTATGCTTGTTTATCAACATCTACAAACAAAGGTAAGGTCTTTATAATTGCAACCCCCCCCCCAAATGAATTGTGTAATAATTAAAATATATCTTATTCAAGTTTAATAATTGTTGAGCATCAAAAGTTAAATAATAAAATCATGGATTGATTGGATGATTTTAGTAAAAAATGTTACGTTATTTAGATGATTATGCTATGCATGTAAACACTTGTATAGTGTTCCAGCTGACGTCAAAGGGCGAAGCACACACCCTCCAGTACAATGGGCGACACCTCAGTCTGAGAGAGCGTCACTACACTGCTCACGGACTGCTCACTGACTGCAGGACCTGCCTCCAAACAGGCGCACGGCACACATTGCCAGTTGTTCATTGTTCATTCATTCATGCAGAGGACCTAGTCCAGCGTCATTCTACAGCCTGTTCCAGTCCCTGAGGAAATTGTCAACCACAAGTCCACAACTGATTGTACAACACACAGAGCTCATTCAGTCTGAAGGTACAGGGCAAGAAAACCACAGTGCATCCTTCCTGCACCAGCAACTGCATCAAGTTCTTTCAGATGTTTCTTATACAGAAAATATTACATGCGGGTAATATCTATACTGTATCACTGTTTCTGGCTCTAATTGGCCAAAAGTTTTTATATTTATTGTTTACATCCATACCCTCAGCTGGACAGCAACTGTAATGGGTCCACAGCGCTCAAGCCTCTGGAGGAATGAGGTGGAACCCTTCTTCTTTAGCATCTGAAATGACAAAAAACACCTATGGCCAACTGTGTTTGACCTCACTCGCCACATTCCATATAGCATGGATTCTAAAAGGCTATTTCTGCCTTTGCATCATGTAAATGTAGCTACTGCAATATCCCCTAATTTTGTGTAAGGCTGGTGGGACAGAGGTGAGCGCTGGCTTATGCAAGCCTTTGCACTGGATGGCTAATGAGCCACAGAGGCGTCAGGCAAGACCCCCAGAGGTTACACATGCAGCCACCCTCCCTAGTCTGACAGGCCTCCTAAAGAACCTGCTTTCACAATGAAAATGTATAGCAATAAGGTCATTTCTATAGAATTATGGAGACTGTGGACTTATTTTCAATAATCATTTTGTAGAAATATACAGTATAAACTGTAGGCCATAGTTAGGATTTTCTTGAGATGTGCCTTGTTTGAACATACCTTGCTAAGGTCATGATACCTCCGCTGCTGAGGGACACTACTGGTGGGCATTACATGAGCTGAAGGCATCTTATGCAGCAGAAGGGCTGCTCTCGAGCCCCTCAAACCCACGTGCCCCTGTGTGCCTGGGATCAGTGAGCCGGTCTGCGTAAGCTTCGACTGGAAAAGCTGCTGTAGTAAAATACTCTCACTGGCTGTGGGACAAAAAACACAACAACATGTACTGAGAGGGAGGACAAGAAGCAAAGGCATTGGTGGAAATGAGGGGCGGGGGAGGATAGAATGAAAAAGCTGTGGAAATGGTGACATAAACAAAAGGGCAGAGAAGTCACAGAGGTTAGAGGTCTTGTTTTAACTATACTACTCTTAAAAACAAACATTAGTTGAAACAAAGCTCCATGCAACTGCCACAAGGGTCATGCTTTTCAAAAACAGGAATCCTCCGATAACAACAACAATTCATTCATTAAGAAAGCCAGAGGTGTGCGTGTGGATCTTCTTTGAACATCTTAAGAAATAGAAGAGACGAGTGAAGCATTTCTTACTTTAAAAAAAACAAAAGCTTATTCAATAGTATAATTTAATTTAATTAAGTATATTAATTTAATTAAAGCAGCCAATTAGTGTAGTCTTGCATATACTTTTCTGTTATCAATTGTATTAGAGATTGATACCTAAATGGCAGTGGGATTACAGCCATAAGAGAAAACTGTAGGAAACTGTGAGGTCATGAAGATGAAAGCCTGTGGAGCGAGGTGGCTCAGAGGTGGCGGGACAGCAGCCAAGTGAGTAAAGGACTAGCGTTAGACGATTAGCCTCATCATGGAAATTATAGTAATTAAGCTGCAAGACGCAAGTCGAGCCTGGCAGCCACACAACGACTGCCTGTGTCCTGTTGGCCACAACAGCCCACATCTGGCACCGTCTATAGACAATATACACACAGGCTGCTGTCTGTTGCGTATGGATGAAACACTCATAACGGCACGGGCAAAGCTGCACAAAGAGTGGTTTTGTGGGACGAGAGTTTAGACAAGAGAAGATCTTTGTGATGGAGTGTTTTGACAGGACAGACTGCTCATATGTATCTCATTCATTGGGTACTTACACTTCATTGTAAACAAGAGATTCTGAGGAAGAGAGTCCTTGTTTCTGGTTAAGGATCCAGTGAGGTCATACGAAACCTACAACAACAAAGTTTTGTTTTACATTGGTCATTGGTCATGACAATAATCTCTATCAATGCTTCTGATAATTATGATAATGTAGATATTTTGTGTGTTGACAGCTGAGAAAATCTCATATAAACTATACATAATCCAATAAATATCTTATCGAACGAGCGTACCTGCCCAGCGTAGTGCTTCACAGTGAAGGCAGGACCCTGGTCTTTAGGAGGGGGGTTTCCATTGCCATCTTTAGTAGTTAGAAAGAGCCCGTGTGATGGACAGGAGTCTAGCTGGGACGACAACCTTTTGTACAAAGTCTGTTCTTCCGGCCGCAAGCTCTGACTCTCCTCATCCAACAAACACAGCAGGCCTTGAGGCTTCTGCAGAGGAGCACAAGAACATTACAGCCACTATTCACAGAAACAACAATGGGATAAATCATATCTTTGTTTGAGATATAGAATATAAATGCTAATGATAACACCAATAGGGAGCAAATAATCTATGGTGTCTTTCTGGCAGTTGCCAACTGCTGCATATTTCACATTGATAAAACATTACAGATGTCAACAAAATGTGCGCTTGTTTGATTTTCTATGTATTACACTTTGATGAGAATGACTTTAGTCTTAAAAAAGGCTAGAGAATAATTTCTATCTCAGTGTCAGCTGGTGGTTAGAGAAAAACGTTTGTAGTAGTGTTTATCACGTAATGATACTTGTAAAACGCCAACCTTAGTCAAACAGCATGGTGTTAAGTTACGACAGGGTTGTGGTTTAATGTGTTGGTATTTATGATAAAACAATAACCCAATATGACTCAAAGTACCTGCAGAAAGAAGTCAAGGACAGTGGGTTGGTAGCAAGGAGAGCTTGGTGTTTCCGTGGCGATCCCCTCCTGCTGACACTCTGCCTTCTCCTGCAGGAATAGCACCTCAGAGACGTGCTGCCTCAGACGCTCATTGGTCATGTTCACACATAGCTGGAACGCACAACAACAAAACAATTAATATGTTTCCTAAAAAGTAGTTCTAGGAAATAAGATTCAAACACTGCATCATGTTATTACTAGAATTCACCGTAAAGAACGGTAAAGAAACCAAATCATTGTTTAATGCTAAACGGCCAATGTTATTGTAATATTTTAAAGTTTGCACTGTACATGGTTTTGCTGAGACAGTGCCTGCACACTGGTGGTATTTTTGAACTTCTCACAGTTATAGTCACAAGAGTGAGTTTTGTGAAGTCAGGGCAACATTGTCACTTGTCACAGTGACACAGAGTACGAGCTGTTGCTGCATATGAGCTGAAACACATTCCTGAGTTGAGAAGCAGGTAGGATTAAACTTTCTTTGAACCCCCCATCCTCACCAGTTGAAGAGGGGAAACCATCCTTTTCAATAATTTACAATACTATGTGTGTGTGATTTTATACAGTATATACATATATACAGTGCCTTGCGAAAGTATGAACCTTTCAACATTTCGCCACATTTCAGGCTTCAAACATAAAGATATAAATTTTTTTTTTTTTTGTCATGAATCAACAACAAGTGGGACACAATCGTGAAGTGGAACAAAATTTATTGGATAATTTAAACTTTTTTTACAAATAAAAAACTGAAAAGTGGGGCGTGCAATATTATTCGGCCCCTTTACTTTCAGTGCAGCAAACTCACTCCAGAAGTTCAGTGAGGATCTTTGAATGATCCAATGTTGTCCTAAATGACTGATGATGATAAATAGAATGCACCTGTGTGTAATCAAGTCTCCGTATAAATGCACCTGCTCTTTGATAGTCTCAGGGTTCTGTTTAAAGCGCAGAGACAACCATGAAGACAAAGGAACACACCAGGCAGGTCCGAGATACTGTTGTGGAGAAGTTTAAAGCCGGATTTGGATACAAAAAGATCTCCCAAGCTTTAAACATCTCAAGGAGCACTGTGCAAGCAATTATATTGAAATGGAAGGAGTATCAGACCACTGCAAATCTACCAAGACCCGGCCGTCCCTCCAAACTTTCATCTCAAACAAGGAGAATACTGATCAGAGATGCAGCCAAGAGGCCCATGATCACTCTGGATGAACTACAGATAACTACAGCTGAGGTGGGAGAGTCTGTCTGTAAGCAGGCACGTTTTATATTTTTAGTGTGGACTTTTATTGTGTGGTTTTATTTGTTGCATGGACTGTTTTATTTGGTTTTATGAGTGTTATTTATTTCACGTTATGCCTTGCTGCCCCAAGCCACATGAGCCCCAGCCAATGCCTGCACTCACAGCTTAATCAGCGCACCTGCAACTGAGTGAGCATGGGCACATAAGGGCGGACTGGGAGCAGAAAGGGAGGACACAGGGATACGGAGAGGAGGACACAGGGATACGGAGAGCAGGACACGGGACAGCACGGCACCGGAACCACGACCCGGATCACAATGATAGCCATCGCCTCACGAGTCCCCAGGGAACACCACAAAGCCGAACTACCGCAGGAGGCAGAGGACGCTCTGCCTTTGCGTGTAAGTACCTCAACACATTGAGTAGTGGTGTTCATGTAGTAGCCTTTGGCGGGGGGATTCTGTGGGGTGTATTGGCGTTCTCTGTGTGGTTGTGCTCTGCCTCCAGGGTCCGTGGCGCCGCAAGAGACGCATTGTCCCGGGTAGAGCACCGCGAGGCGTAATCCAGACGGTGGCCGAGTGTAAAACCTCGGCCTCGCTGGTAAGTGTGTGAAAGCAGCGGTGCTCGTGTTTAGTGGACGAAATGTCGGTGCAGCTTTGCTGTTGGCCTCCACTCTGCTGCCGCTGTGCTTTTGTGCCTGCAGGACCCGAGACGCTGAAGGGACCTGGGCTGAACGAACACGTGTCGGGACTAATTTTAATCCGCTCTTTTTTAAATCGGACATTTTTTACATTGTTTGTAAATAAATTATTTTTTAAACGCATCAGTAGTTTCATTTACTGCAATTACGTGCTCCCCCCGGCTCTCACATGTCCATAGCACAACAATCAGTCGTGCACTGCACAAATCTGGCCTTTATGGAAGAGTGGCAAGAAGAAAGCCATTTCTCAAAGATATCCAAAAAGTCTTGTTTAAAGTTTGCCACAAGCCACCTGGGAGACACACCAAACATGTGGAAGAAGGTGCTCTGGTCAGATGAAACCAAAATCAAACTTTTTGGCCACAATGCAAAACGATATGTTTGGCGTAAAAGCAACACAGCTCATCACCCTGAACACACCATCCCCACCTCAGCTGTAGTTATCTGCAGTTCATCCAGAGTGATCATGGGCCTCTTGGCTGCATCTCTGATCAGTCTTCTCCTTGTTTGAGATGAAAGTTTGGAGGGACGGCCGGGTCTTGGTAGATTTGCAGTGGTCTGATACTCCTTCCATTTCAATATAATTGCTTGCACAGTGCTCCTTGAGATGTTTAAAGCTTGGGAAATCTTTTTGTATCCAAATCCAGCTTTAAACTTCTCCACAACAGTATCTCGGACCTGCCTGGTGTGTTCCTTTGTCTTCATGGTTCTCTCTACGCTTTAAACAGAACCCTGAGACTATCAAAGAGCAGGTGCATTTATACGGAGACTTGATTACACACAGGTGCATTCTATTTATCATCATCAGTCATTTAGGACAACATTGGATCATTCAAAGATCCTCACTGAACTTCTGGAGTGAGTTTGCTGCACTGAAAGTAAAGGGGCCGAATAATATTGCACGCCCCACTATTCAGTTTTTTAGTTGTTAAAAAAGTTTAAATTATCCAATAAATGTTGTTCCACTTCACGATTGTGTCCCACTTGTTGTTGATTCATGACAAAAAATATTTTTTTTATATCTTTATGTTTGAAGCCGGAAATGTGGCGAAATGTTGAAAGGTTCAAGGGGGCCGAATACTTTCGCAAGGCACTGTGTATATATATATATATAAATATAAATATATATATATATATTTATATTTATATATATATATACAAGCTCAATATTATTGTGTAATATTTGAGTGAGAGGTGTTGGAGCCCAATTCAAATTGGCTTTGTCCAACCACTTTTTAATCTTGTTTGTGTTATGTTAATATAGGTTTGAAATAAATCCTTCCACGACATAATATGATGACTGATTCTAAGCGGAGTGGGAGTTGTGTCTGTTATTAATTATGTCACTTGAACATGCCCTAACCATGTATAACCATGTATTTTAGAGTAAAACATCTCCAACCTCTAAATAAGTTAATTTATTATATGTTTTTTTCTGTCTGTTTGTAGTTATGAAATGGTGCGTGCGTGTAAGGTCCCAGCAGGTGGTTGATTGAGTTCACTCATTAGCAGAGTGCTGAGCAGGTACAACACACTGGTGACAAACAGATCACTAATTAACAAGCATTAATGACCACCATTTCACTGGGAAGGCTGTCTGTGTAAACATGACAGAAAACATAGCCTTTGTTTGTTATTGCTATTATTATGCAGCCACACGTGCACAATGTAAAAGCTGACCCTTATTAGTCAATGAGGAATACAATGATTGATAAGGATTATACAAATCTGAAACATTTGCATATTACATGATTTAACATTATGTAGTGGAAGTAGGGAGGAGCTGAGTAAATATGAATGAGGCTGATACTATCATACGCTGCAAATAGCATACATGCAAATAGGTACAGTAACACATACGTAATCTCATTCAAAACATGGCAACAAATTATAATTCACCTATTGCTGTAAAAGACATGGAATTACACCAAATTATGTGTTTGAACAACGACAATTTGGAATTAAATACATTTGAGAATTATGAAACATGATCCATATTATGATGTAGACCCTGACAATATGGTTTTTTCACATAGTAATTTTGACTGTAAATATTATTCAGGAGATCAATGCAATGCAGTTGAGACTGATGGTAAATCATCAATCGTTCAGTTTAATAGTAGGAGAAGGCACTAAAATTGTAATAGTATTAAGTAATAATTTCAACATATAGAGCACTCTTTTAGTATAGTTGCAGTGTCCGAAACATGGTTTAAGGAAGAAAGGGTGGTCATTTTGATTTAGATGGTTATAATCTTAATTATATGAATATAATCAACAGAGTGGGTGGAAGGGTTGGAATATATGTAAAAGATTAGTTGTGTATATAGGTCACCAGGTTCAAGTATTGATTTTTTTTACTGAGTGAGAGGATGAAGAAAATGTACTCAACTACAAATACAATATTATTCATGTGGTGATTTCAACAGAGACCTGCTTAATTCCAACAAAAACACAGTAAAAAAGGATTTTATGAACAAAATGTCTATTTCCACGTCCGAGTAGAATCATATCTCACAGCGCTTCACATGGACAAAATTTTTACAGAAAACATTGAACTACATCACATTTCCCCTTATTTAAACAATTAATAACAAAAGATGCCATTTCAAACTTCAGACTTGACATTTTAAGTCAAGAATGGAATTATGTTTTTGCATAAGTAAATGTGGATCTGGCCTTCAATAACTAAGTTGAAATACTTTGCACACTTTACAATAAACATTGTCCAATACGTCAATGTAATAAAACTAAAAACACAATTGACTATCTCTGGTGTGTAACCAAAAGCTTACTTATGCATGCAAAAAGAAACAATATTTATACAGGCAATCAATTAAATTATGAACAGAAGAGACTGAAAGCTGATACAAACAACAAAAAAATAAATTAACAAACATAATTAGAGTCAGAAAGAATATGACACTAATGTACTGAATAAAAATTAAAATAAAATGAAACCGGCGAATAACAATAATAATTATACAACTTTATTAACTAATATTATTAAAGGTATTTGGAGCCTACTAAATAAGCTATTATAAAGGGGAAACTATAAAATCCTTGTCCAAATTATTTCCTTGAGGGCAAAACTACTTTCACAAACATGCACAACATTGCTAATGAGTTTAAGGATATTTTTGTAGGCATAGACCCTGAACTGGCAGTAAAAATTCCCTGAACACAACACGTTGTAAAAGCAAGACATCAACTGACTGTTAGGGTATAGATATGTTTATTGTAAAAAAAAGTAATAAGGTATCAAAAAGCCATTGACCCACATATGCAATCTTTCATTTCAGACTGGAACATTTCCTAAAAACATGAGAACAGCCAAAGTTACACCTGTATTAAAACATGGAGATAAGCCATCTTCACCAACTAAAACAAAAAATATTAGAAAAGTTGTTTGATAAACAATAAGAACATTTTGGTTTTAGATCAAAAAGATCCACAACAATGGCAATTCTAGAAGCGGTTGAAAAAATTACTAGCTCCTTAGACAAAAAGAAACATGCAGATGGATTCCCCCCCCCCCCCCCCAAAAAAAAAGCTTTTGACACCATCAATCAGTTTACTTAAAAAACGGGAAAGGTATGGGGGGTGTCATGGGACTGGGTCAAGAGCTATTTATCAGAGAGAACACAGTTTGTGAGGATGGGTGATATCGAGTGAGGGATAGAAGCATTGCTTTTGGAGTTCCACAGGGATCTATATTGGGGCCAAAACTATTTGTTCTGTATATTAATGATATGTTTGAAATATCCATCCATCCATTTTCTTCCCCTTAAAGCTGCACTAACTGACTTTGGGATTTTGAAGCAAATCCCAAAGCCTCGCTCTTTCTCGTCCGCTCCCCGCACCCACGAAGCTATCGCCCCCCGCTACCGCACACCCAGTGTTGTTTATGGAGCTAGCGTCTCCCAATATGGATGAAACCATGGATATGGATTTTCACGTGGATGGCATGACCATAGAACGATAGAACCGGGACGCGTGGAGGAACGGGACTTTCTTTTGGATGGCTGTCTCTCATAGCTTCTGCTCTCTCAAGCAAAGAGCATTACTTCATTGTAAAAAATGTGTAATCTATATATTAATATATATATTTCACTATAATGTTTAGGAAGTTTGTGATGAATTAATTATTATTTTTGTGATGTTTGTTTTATGCTCATGCTTGAAATGAGTAATTCATTCAAGAAAGTCAGAGGTTTGTACCCTTCATATCTATTTTGTGTGTGATTGTGAGTGTACACTCACAAACATTTTTTGTAAAAACAGTCTTGAGACATTCCCTTACTCTGTCGTCATTAAATGCAGGTATATGCATTAGGGATTGTAAGGGATTGTCTTAAGACTGTTTTTACAAAAATTGCCAATATTTTATCTTTCAAAAGAGTAACCTTGATTCCTCAGTAGGGAAATGTCAGTGTTGCACAGAAAGAACATAGAAAAATACTTAAAAATACACGTCTCTTTTGCTTGTGAATCGTTTGAGATGAGAAATTCCCATCAAATGCCTTTTCAAGCTTTATTATTCAACATTTACCGACAAACTAAAATATTGTCTCATACTCCTGTTCTGGCATTTGCTCCTAACCTTTCCACGACAGTAAAAGGTCAAGCAGAGTCTCAAATACGCTCAGATTAATGCAGATGCAGAGGTGGACTCGAGCCACACTCCTCTCCGTTTCACACACAGGCACAGAGACAAAAGTCAAGTATTCTCAAGTCTAAATAAGAGAGCGCTCGTGGTTCCACAGGGAGAGCGTATAAACTGGGAGTAGTAGTCCTTCTCATGAACATACACAATGAAGGGGCTGATTTATACCCACCAGCACACACACAGCTACACACTGTGATATACAGACTAATGGTCCTGATCCCTGCTGCTCTTATATTAGAAGAGTCTATTAAGACTGTGCGCCTGATGAGCACATGACAGAGTTATAGTTTTTAACAGATGAGTGGCATTGATATACACTGTACTCCATTAAAAGCATGTTATGCAAAAACATTGTAAAGGTCATTTTGGATGGAAGAAGTAGATAAAAAAGTACCATATCATTAGAATTTAAATGAGTTTAAATCCTTAAATCTCTTTTGCCTTGATAGAACTGTATTATATGTAGAGCAGTAGTTGATCAAATATATTCTTAGCTGACAAAAAGAAAGCGATTGATGAGGCGCAACTAAACTTCTAAAAGCAATTACTTATTTGATCTTAATTGTATTCACCAAACTCAAATATTTCATTATTTATAGAGACTAATCAATTTGAATTCAATACCAAAACTGTCAGCTGATTTGCTAATTACTTCTACCTGGAAACATTTTCCCATCGAAATCCTTGTGAAGTTAAGACACTCTACTTAAAAATCTCATGATTATGAGATAGTATCTCATAATTACGAGATAATATCTTGTAATTATGAGATAATGAAAAATAAATAAAAATAGCCCTCATCAGGCAGGCTACACTGCATTGATTCATCAACAACTTTCATCGGCACGATTCGGCAGTACAGGTAATTGTTTGTTTATATTATTATTATTATTAAATATGTGTTTAACCCATTCATTAGAGAAACCTTTTTATTCAACTATTAATGAAGTTGGCTCTTGGCCCAAAGCTCCGTTCCACATGTGTGTCAATGCTGAGGGAAGTGAATTTTTTTGGACCAGTCAAGTTTAGTCTTTGTGAATTTTTGAAGGCACTCGTTTAAATGAATGGGGCTCGTGCCGGCTGACGCATGCACAAATTACTGTCAAGACAAGTTCTGGAGCGACATAATGCCCCATTAAATATTAACAATAATAGGTCAAATAATAAACATTTTAATCTACTAAGACAGAGGTTCCCAAAGGTTTTAGCCCGCGACCCCCATAATAAATGTGCTGCTACCCTGCAAACCCCCCACCTCCTCCACCCCTCCTCAACAGCCGTATTAGTACTTCTGAGAGGCACTGTAAATACAGTGAATTCATTCAAATTTTTGCATCACAGTTCACAAAACAGACCAATGAACAATATACACAAACAGTGGGCTCAGAGCTGCCAATTCTTTGAAAATACTGACACAGGCAGTCATTGTGTGAAGTTCATCTGAGGACATTGAGCACGAGGCCACTCCCACCACAGACCTCAACTCATTCATTACAACTACACATGGACATATTTCTGCAAACATCTTGACAATCTGATTTAGATTAGCCAGAATCCCACAACTGAGAATCTTTAAATAGTTTCAGAAGACACAGTTCATGTTGAGTAGTACAAGGAGTGATGTAAAACAAGAGTCCTACCTGCTCAAAGCCATTGTACTGGAGATTTTCCATACCAAAAATGTCCAAGATGCTGATTTCAAGAGCAGGATTTCTAAAAGAAATAAAGTAAAAAAGATTAATCTCTGTCAACGGCTTCTAATGTGTAGTTTGTGTAACATCTGTGGGGAGTGCCTTTGAGTAATTTATGACACAGAGGGTTCCTGTGTAAACAATGAAGCACAAACACATTCTTGAAGCTGAGGTTATCTGACTAAGAGTGATAATAGCTCGATCATCAACACCATCAAGGATCCTATGGCCTTGTTAGTGTTAAGGGCCTCCCTGTGAACCTTGGTTGGGTCCTTCATTCCAAGCATGTAGTTATGTTTTTCCATTTCATTGTTCAATACATACCTATTGGGTCATGTACTGTAATATTATGCTGTCACCCTAATGTTTGAATACTGTGTGGCAGATAGAGTAAATAAGCAATAGTACTTTTGAGGCAAACAATCTATGGTAAGTCATGAAAAAATATGACATGATTGATACATACTCGGTGCAGTCATCTTGGCCCTGTAAGTAGTCATTGATGCAGTTGACTAGATAACTGAAGAGACGTCCATAAATGGCCTTTGCCAGCTGGTCTCTGTGCTGCTCTGACATTTCAACTGTGTGACTCCGAGTGATTACATCACCTACAACAGAAGATAACAATGTTTGTTTTAATAAGAGGATACAAATAATTTATCAACAAATTATGTCATTAAATGTACTATTGTTATAGTAATACAAACTTGAAACAAAACCCCTGGTTTGGGTCACTTTGCTACAATATACAGTATATATTAAACACATTTGTTCTAAATGATAATAAGATTATATTGTTTTATAATGAATTTGTATAATCTTAATCTTGCGGTGATTGAAAGCATTTTACAGCATGTTAATACAGCAAACATATCATACCAAGTATTTTGAGAGGGCTGTGTGGGAACATACCTTTGAAGTACTGCACATCATAGGTGAGGGCGGTGCTCAAGTCATTGGAACACACCTGCAGCATTCCAGCAACTGCAACAACAACCATAAAAGCTTAACAAAACAAAAACAACATTCTGCTTCAAAACAATTTTTACATAACTTAAAGTTTATTGTAAAACAAATAATCTGTTTTGTTGTTTTTCATGATGAAAAAATTTGCTTTAAAATGAGGTGATAACACGCCATATTAGCCCAGGCTGACATTTGGCTTTGATGTAGCTGTGAAGTATTTCTACTTCACACAAAATACTTTTTTGTGGATCTGGCACCTAAACAACCTCAATGTCCCGTGGAGATTGTTTGGCAAATGCATGGTGGGGCTGGTTCATATCAGGCTGCAGACTCGCCACTCCCCTCGCTGACCTCTTGTCGAAATGTAAGTTACAGAAGGTACTATATTCTGAATCTCAGTATGACTTTTTAAAGTTATAGTGAGACAGTATGACTTTTTTAAGTCATACTCCAACTGCTGTTTACCAAAAAAACATTTTCTATGGTGGGGACTTGTAATTGCCTTTTTGTTCACCAGAAGTGCACAAATCAATGAGATTAGATAAGCTCATTGTGATACATATACTGTAAGATTGAAGTCATTGGGCTTGTGATTTAACAAGGCAATTTCAATCTCCGAACAATACATACATTTTCATCCAATTTATGAATCAGCCCTTTCTGGAAAACAAGTGAGAGTCATATAGACGGTTGAAAAAATAAATTGATTGTACTGGTGAGTCATGGGTCCATTTCCGCGCAGAACGCTGCACACAAACAGGTGACGGAGGCCCAGAAAAGCTCTGCTGTGACATCACCAGCCGTGACACTGCTCTGACAATGAGTGGCTCTTTCCCATTCAGCCGCTGATGTCATTTGTTTACTGCCTTCTATAGGTCAGAGATCATGGGGCGCACATGTAGTTGCATAATAGAGGACGGAAAGGCAAAGAGCGAGAGAATAACATTGAGGGTAACGGGTGCGTGTTTCCCTCACTGCTCTCCCATCACCATGGTTACGTTTTCGGAGAAATGTGGCACAGTGAACAGGTGACTGTCTGGACGGAGATGTGAGCTGGCCAACTGCCTAGTCTCCAGTGGAATAATAATAACAGATACAGCATAGGAGGCACAGCAAGGTTCTAGTTCTGATGTGCAGTGATTCAAAATAACAACTGTCTCCGGCACAATCAAGGGATATTTTAGTCTCTGCAATAGGCCTGTCACGATAACAATACATTTTCATTTGTATAAAAACACCTTTCAAAGTATGAAACAACAACAAAATTAAAGGAAAAATAGGAGACTGAGGGCACAAAACAAAAAGGACACTGTGGAAGAAAAAAATCCATGTAAACATCAACAGACAGTTAGAGGAAGGCCATTTGACAACTACTTAAGAAGTTATTGAAAAGAAGGTAGTAAGAAGGTAGTGCTAGCCTCATTTCCGAAATCCTCGACCACCTTTTTGTCCAGAGCCTTGACCTTGGAATGACCAACAGGGAACTACCCAAGAATCTAAGGGGGGCTTGTAGGGGGTTAACAGAGCAGACATTTTGGGAGCCAGTTGATTGAAGCTAAAACAGGGGTTATGTGCGCCCTTCTTTGAGAAACCATGCCGGACGATATATTGATACAGAGTTTTAATGCGACTACTATTACAAAACTGCAATGGAATAGCTATGAACGGAGCCAAGTGATTTGTTTGGTTCAAATTGTATCATATGACAAAGAAAATTGGCAAGTATCCCACATAATGTACAGATGACATGTTTAGCCCCAAAAGGATTCCTGGTGAACTGTACGACTAGGGGTGCGAATTGGCATAAATGTGACGATTTGATAGTATTGCGATAATTGGGCCAAAATTCAATATTATTGCGATTGCAAGTTTTGCAATTCCATTCTGCAATATATTGGGATTCATGTCACTCATATTATTCGAAGGAATACAGGGAAACAGCGAAGGGAAGGAAAAATTGTATTAGAAAGGTATGTATTTGGACAGGTATAGGGTGCTCACTGACTGTTGTTTCCTCACTGCATGTGTTCTGCACGCGGAAATTCCATGATTTACTCTGAGGCAGCTGAGAGTTTGTGAAAATGCCCAAAGAAAATATAATGTTGTGCCAGACCTGTTTGATGATCCCATCCTATTGAGTGAGGTTTTTAACTGCTTCTAACATACTCCATATTCCTCTGCTTTGTAAACACACTCGATGAAAAGTACAGGGTGAATAATTGTGATATAATCTCAGGCTGCATGAGCAAAGGACAGCAGAGCTAATGGTGACAGCAGCAGAACTGACCCCTGTTCAGCAGCTGCAGGTCTGAAGGGAGCGCCGCATCGACATCTGTCAGACTGTGGAAGTGCAGGTCCCCCAAGTGCAGCACGGCGGACAGCAGCGAGAACACAGACTCCACCTCCTAAACACACAACAACGTCACAACAGCTCAAATTAAAATTAATTATGAAGCAATAGAAAAATACTGATAATACGTCACATGCATCTGGTCAAAGATATATACATGTCTACAACTGTAAATGACAATTTGCTGAATCAACGAATCTCTTTTCTTCCATGTTTCATCCCAATATAACACCATATTGTTTGGTCAAATAAAGCCTCCAATATTAACAAGTGCCTTTGTGCATTCAGAAATGAATGTGTGACATGTATAGTCAAAACTATATTGTGCTAGCATGATCGTGTCGTTACTCTCACGTTTAAATAAAGCAGGCTGATATAATTTGAATGATGGCTCTAATCAAACATTCTTTTTTTTTTATCAAATATGATAACACATCAGCACTTTCATTCACATAATTCTCCTTCCTTATCTGACTTTTCCTTCCTCTGTGCCCTTGAGCAGAGGACACCTAATGGAGTACCCTATTACACATGGCACTAAGAGGGAGGAGGAGGTTCCTCGTGTGTGTGTGTGTGTGTGTGAATATGCACTTTCTCCAGGCGTGATCCTGGAGCTGATATCTGAGAGATAAACACTGGCATTAGTCTCTGTCTGACACCATCTATAGTCAGACCCTTCTACAGTACAGCGGGAATAGAGGAAAGAGAGGAAACTCAGCGATATAGGTGTTAATGAAGATTGACCTCTGGGTCTGGGCTGTGAGAAGTCTCCTGATGAGAGCAGCTTAGACACAAACCAACGGGTGGTCTATCACTTACACTCCTACTCTAACATCTTCAGTTAAGTTCATCGCTAGACTGTTTCAGGGAACACTGATCAAACCAACATTTCTGTGTGCTATCCCCATGACTGGCTCCTCCTCATCGACTGTTGGATTAAAAGGTGACATGGTGGTCATTTGCTGCTGACAGATGCTGACTGCAAATCTAAGAATAGATAGTGATAATGGGCTGGGAACACAGCTGGTGAAATACAGGACCTGCAGCACCATCGGACACTACAGACAAACTGTGTACACCTCAGGCACATTCTGTACATTCTTTTCATAATTAAACCATGTTATGACAAGGTGAAGGTTAATGCGGCCTTAGCTTCTTTTAATCAGAATCTAATAGACAATATATTAGACAGACCTAATCAAAGATCTAATTCTGCAGAATTCACTTGTGTAATATAATTGATTAGTGTAAAAAGTAGTTTGCAAAAGATTATGCTAAAACTAGCCATAGTAGAGATCATAAACGCTGTCATTCAGCCAACTTCAGAAAATAAGCAATCTTCATTTAGCAAAAAAACCTCCACAGAATATCTGTTTCGCAATCCATACATTGGATTTAAGTGCCTCAAAAGAGAACAGAGTTACCTGTTAGCAATGTGAGTTAGGATCTTTGTCTAGTGAGTAGAATGCTCCAGAAAAAAAAAAATCTTATCTGTCATTCCCTAGGAAAAGCAATGTACAAATAGTACCTGCTTGTTGAAGCCTAAAGCTCGGAGGGCTTGCTTCACAGCCAAAAGACGGTCTTTGCTTTGTGTTGAGGCAGTAGCAACAGGAGAGCTTTCTCGAGGAACAACACCTAGAAGATACCTGAGTGCACATTTAAACAAATCAGAATCAAACACAAATTATGCATAATAATCCAATGTGGTTTTAAACAGAAAATGAAAAATAAACCTATATCATAACACAAGTCAAACTAAATCAAAGTTACCAAAAACCACCACGCAGCACGGGCTGCAGTGAGGCAACAGTCAAATGTAAAGTATGTTATCAGTAGATAATATATTGTAAAATCAGCATATATAGACTGTCGGCTAACCATGATAGCAACGCATTGAACATTGAGCTTGCACCACATCGGGCAAATGTCAGATATGACTGTTGACATGCAAGAATAAATACAGCTTTAGGGGCTAGATTTATTCAGAAGTGGGAGGAAAGGTTAAGTGACAATAATAAGCATGACATATGTCAAACTAACTTAACTCACAAAATATACTTAATTTCATGTACATGTACTGCACCTGTGTGCTAGCACGTTACTGAGGTAAAGTGCACTTTTCTCCTCTGTTGATAGGCCCTCTGCCATCAGATAGAAAATTGAGAAATTGTGTTGATGGGGAGGCATTTGGACCAGACGAGACTTCTCCAGCATGTACGTGTGCACCCTCGCTGTAAAAAAAACAAAAACAATTGAACACCGGCTGCAGAAACTTTAATAGGATCTATAGCAGGAAACAGCAATTCAAGGTCTATGATTAATGCGTGCTTAAAGCAAGAAAAAGAAAGGTGAAGTAAGGTGAGCAAAGGGATACTATCTGTAATACATTGCTGCCCTCTGCTGGCTTGTCAAACATTTCTGCATTTAAATTATTTTCTATACAAATCAACATAGACATAAAATACCATGTGTAAAGATGGAGGCATATTTGGAATGGAATATAATAAATTAATCTAATTTTTGGGAAACAAACATTGTGATAAACCCATACCTCTGATTATTGTTCTACTTTTCTCACAGTATTGAATGCTTAAAAGCTTGATGAAGCGACTGGAGTTGTGGTTTTGCTGTGTTCTAGCGTGACCAAAAGCTTCAAGGACTGCATTTACCTGCAAATATAGATAAAATGTAGCGTTATAATTCAATTCCATATAAATTCAATTTATTCTTGTATAGCCCTAAATCAGAACAGTAGTCATCTCAGAGGACTTAACAAAACTGTCTAAATCGCCAACACAGATCAGAGAATCAAACACCAAAATATAGAACACATAGGTATTGGTCTGGACTGGATCATCATCACAGTCCTTCTTGATACAAACTGTCCAACAGACCCTACTGAAAAACTCTAAAAGCCAGTAGAAAAAAAGTGAGAAACCTCGGGGAGAACCACATTGAGAGAGGGATCCATTCCACATGGATTATATTCTTACCATATTTTGTATTCAAACTACAGTATACATGTATTCCATTCAAATGTATAATAAAAAATGACTTATACATATTTCTATCCACTAGATGTCAGTGTTTCTACATTTATTATTATGGATGTCTGATATATCCAGAGCAGGCTGACCTAGATATTGTCTCAAATTGATGACTCCATCAGAATATTATAGCACTTACATTAATTGCATGAGAGAAGAAGGAAATCTACTGTATAGCCATATGGTTAGTGTATGGGGAATACATTTTTGTACCAACATCCCTTGAACTCTTTTCCCTCCATTAAGTTGTCTGTGCCACACTCAAATTCAACTGCATGCCTAAGTGCTTTGGTGCAAAGACTTTGATCTCAGACTTACATGTTTCATCTTGGAGTCCAGTGCAAAACCCTGGGAGCTGCAGCGAGCACCCAAGTGCTTCACAATGTGCTTACAAACTTCTGTCTTTCCAGAACCACCCTCTCCACTGCAAGGAGAGACAATAAAGAGGATGCATGAGTTTGTATATTAAATTAACAAAAAACAAACTATGAATCAGTTTTGTCAATTAAAAAGTACACTGCAAAAAGTGATACAAAATAAGTCAAATATTGCTTGAATTTGGCAAAATGTATCTTAATTTGAGCCCATGTTCACAGGATTTGCCAGCAAAATGATCTTGCTTTAAAAAGATACAAGGAATGTCTCCCATGGAAAGAGAAAGTCAAGCAACAGTTATTGAAATAAAACTAAACGGCTTATTTTAAGACAGAATGTACTCAAAGTAAGACAAAAACACTAGTTTTAAGCAATTTTTACTTAACACTTTATCATTTTTTGCCATTTTATTTTGTATCATGCACATATCTAAACATATCTAAAGCACTTTCAAGCTACAGTACACGGCTGCAGGAGCTTGTTTTACGTTCATCACTGTTAGCACTAATCAGACATATGGTGGTTCCTCTAACAGCTCTTTCACATGCACGTCTCTATATACTGACCTGAGAGCCGTGTACTAACAGCCAACAGATGGCTTGAGAAGGTCAGAGCCTTTAGTAATAGTCGCTGCTTGTCCCTGTGTCCGTATGTGCTGCTAACAGCTCTACCGAGAGGTAGTCTCAAGGCCTCTGTTTAATTAGTTTTTTAAAGTATCTGGATCTGGACCTCAAGAAAAAGAGCATCTGACTAGTTGGACTACTCTTTTCTGTGTCGTTTTAATTTAAGAATTTCTGTAATGGTATGTCACTCAACCAATAGTCACTCAATCAAAAGCAATTGCTACATCAAAATTGTTACTGATGCCCAAAACTATCCATCATAAACTTTGAATAGTGATTAATGCAGGATGATATTATCTCACCAAACTGAGAACACTGAGAACATAAAAAACAAACTGTCTTCAGTGTACATTGAATAAGAAAAACCCTAAGACATTGTGCTGTGTTTGTGTCTGCTCTGGCTCTGTGCATTGTTGTGTGGAATTGAGTTGAAGATAGCCTGTGGTTAAGGCACATTAAGTTGCCAGATTGGTTACAGCACAGCATGAATGTCAGTAGAGCCTGAACACAATTTCATTGCAAACTGGGAGAAGCTGAGTCTAAGTGAAAGACAATGACCATGACACTGTGTTTTTGCTGACCTAAATTGGCCTGCCTCTAGGTCTTTTTCGTCCTCAGGTGAATAGCAGGTGGATAACAGATGGGTGTGGAAAAACCAGGGGGCTACTGTAAACTTAAACGTTGAAACTAATTACAATCTGTCTCTTTTATTAGTCAGAGGGAGTGAGTGCTTTCTGTCGAAGCAAGAGCAGTGGTGCACCTCAATATGAAACCTTGAGGACGCCTCTCTTGCAGCATCATGTGGTACGCTCTCTCTGCTGAGGAGAAGATGTGAGGAGGTAAAGAGGAGCACAGGCGCCCAGTCGAGCTCAGGTACAACTGACTCACCTGAAAGACAACATAGTCTTGAGTCGGTTAAGCCAATCTGAATATCATTACTCTTATATGTCGTTCTTTTTAATGATCTGCACTAGGACTGAAAACTTGCTCTGCTATAGTCACTTTTTAATTGTACATAACATAACTTTTTTAACATGCACATTTCCTGTGATTTTGCACTCCCTGACTGATCTTACAAATGTGACATACATTTCTCCATTGTGAGATCAATATATTTTTATCTTATCTTATGTTACAGATGTGTTAACAGCTATTGAACGTATGTAATCATTTAACACCTAACTGGTGTGCTGTTTACACGTGGATGCTGCAACAATAAAATGTTAGAGTTGGGTATTGGTTTGGCCTTTTGTTTACATGAAGACGGTGTTTCAGGGGTTGAAAATGCATGGCTGGTCGCTGTGTCGCAGCCATGTGAAGAAAAAGAGGAGAATATTCTGGCTGCAATGACCTCAGCACTTCCCAACACGTACATTGGCGGCGGGTACACTAATGCGTCGTGTGCTTCAAGCGCTTCACGGAGGAGAATTCTACCTCTCCGTTCCTCCAAACAAACCATGCAAAACTAAAGTTTCAGTTTCCATTTTTGCAGCTTGATGTTGGAGCATTCTTTCATGTCTTTGCCGTGGCCTGAGGAGGATGTTGTTCAGGAGGTGGTTATACAGCTGGGGGTCACGTGTGTCGGGTTGTAAAGTTCCACTGCACCCAACTGGCCGGGTGCTAAACTACAATATTTTCCATTGTCGTGTATACGCTGACCACTTCAAATAAGGAGCTTGGTCGTTTTTGCTAATTGCTTTGCAGCGTCTCCGCAGCGTCTTGGTCTAAACAGGGCCTGGATTTGAAAAACATCTCATTATTGTGCTTTGTGACAGTCCACACTTGCAAGTAATCATAATCTAATTTTTGTTGTAGAATATTATTATTAATCATGTGTACAATACACACTGTGCAAAAAAGAAACACCGCAATTATGACCCAGTTTTTCTTTTCTTTTTCCAGATCATTCTAAAAATACCATCCCAGACACCAGACACAAACAAGGAAATTATTAGAAAGTAATATCAAGTGTCTGCCTTGGTTTAATATTAAACTCACCCCAGAGATAAGAAGACAACATTTTATGCCCTGATCCTTTTGTTGTAATGCTATAGCTGTGATAGGGGCCTGGCTGCAGACCAGCAGAGCAGCAGATCAGAGGGGGTGTCAGACAGTTGGAAGATGTGCATGTTGTGACATATGTCCATGATATAATAGCTCCACTACATTCTCAGCTTGATATGGCGCCTGAAGTGTTTCCAGCACTGGGAAAGAAAGTCACAGTTTATAGAATTATTCCCAGGTTTTTGTCAAGTAATTGAAGCATAAAATGTATAACTAGTAAATAAATGGGATTGGCTCTATGCAGGGATGTGTTGAACTTGCTCTTTTGAAAAAAATAAAAATAAAAAATATAAATGGTCAGCTTTTTGTTTGGGATCATTCCCAGGCAGGAAGATGACATTATTTATCAACCATGTTTAGAAAAACATAATATTGTTCAGTAAGATCAGTGCATCTCATTGAAACTTACCAAAGTGGAATAAATAGGCAATTCTTTATTTGGGTTCACCAGTAGAAGAATGTGTCCAATATAAGTCTAAAAAGAAAAGGAAATTAGACATGTTTAGAATGTTGCTTTCTGCTGACACTGAATGAATGAATATGTAACAGCATGAGAAAACCCCTACTAATGTTTCCCAGTCAAAACAACTCACATCTGCCCCTTCCACAGATCACTAATCCAGACCCTGGGGACAAGCAGTGAAAAAAATAACCCTCTGAATTTCTAAGCCTCCATTTTTGCCAGAGCCCCAGAGGCAGTTGGACAGTTAACCCCTCCACCCAGCAGATAGGCGACGCGGACATTCACCAACACACTCTGTCCTCAGGCTGTGGCTCGACTTACACCAGAGTCCCTCAGGAGGACGACACAACAAAAATCACTTATTTAAGTCTGTGAATCAAGCGATGTAGCCAATGATTAATTATGGCTTTGCATTGTAGAAAATGCATGCAAAGTAGATGCTATTTAATTTATTTTTTCTCACTTGATATTGTGAAATGTGGGTGTTTTACCTTAAATCATTTAGAATTTGTTTTCATTACTATTTCTAATTTTTTCTTGGGCAGTGCTCTTGCTATTCTGGCACAAAGCATAGAGGGAAGGGGACAGCCCAGCCATCAAAGCCCCCTGTCCCAAACCACCATGCTGAGAGCATATGGACTATTCACGGCTTTTAACTAAGCCCACTTTGACCTTCAAACGCATCACTCCCCAACAATATCTTTAGACAATTCTTATAAACGTCAAAACCCGCTTGATCGGAGCTGCTTGAACTCTGGAATTGTCAGTTTAATTTCCTCCTTTCCATATCTCCCTCTATTATAATATACTGTATCTATGTCCCCTGCTGCGGCTTCCCCTTTTGCCTGTGGCCCTCCTGGTCTGACTCCAGCCTTTGCACAATATATTCCCAATGGAGACAGAGATACAGTTTTAACGGAAAGATGGGAAATTGCAGCAATATAAAAGGAAAAACTGTTGGAGATGAATGGATTTCACTATCGAGTATGGTTGTGGCATGTTTAGTCGATCTCTATGGTATTGATTTGGCCATTGTGGAATCACATAGCTGAGCGAACGACATTTGCAAGAGCTAAATTGAAATGCTAAGTTATGACCTTAAAAAACAACTAAAAATAGTATACATTGAACAAGGAAAGGAGCTGCTGACTTGAAAGAAAAGGTTGAATATGATATGTGATGTTAGCCCGGGAGTGTGTGTGTGTGTCTACTTGTTCTAATAAATATTTGATGTGGAGCATGACTTCCTGAAATGTGAAACAAGGGAAGTAGAGACGCACATAGATTTGGTCATTGCCGAAGCGTTTCTGCATCTCGTAGAGGAGACTGTTATCGGTGAGCTCGCTCAGCGATGCTAGGTCATCATTGGGGGCTGGAGGCATCAATTTGACCTAAAAGCCATTTAAGGATACATGTTAACAACAGCAAAAAAAAAAATCAAGGGTGTGCCAAGAAATGTACCTGTTCCAGTTTGCTTGTTCCAGAGCTGAATGGGCTTTCCAGGCCATTGTCCTGAGAGGGCTGTCGCACTAAACCTCCACCTGCCTCTCGAAACATCGCACACTTTTCCATGAAACTGTCCCGCTTAGAGATAGACACACCGAATGGATTCCTGTGAAAAAAATAGAGCAAAACATACAAATATAATAATTACAGATTCCAAGCACAAAATAACCATCCTATACAAATTCCAAAACTCACAAGTTCTTAACAGGCGTGTTGAGATCTTGCAGTACACCTTCATATTGCTGGTCATTAGAAGGGAGAGAAGATGAGGGGTCTTTTAGTCTCTGTAACCAGTTTTCCTCCGCATTCAAAAGCATTTCCACAATGGGCTGAGACGCAGCAATATCTAAATAAAACACAATGCAAGACAAGATTACAAGATTGAATACAGATAATAAAGTAACTCAATGTACTGTAGATATCTAAGTTCGTGTGATATCTTTACAAGCTATTCCACAAGTTTCTCAGTTTGAAAATAAATCTTCACTTCTAAGTTCTTTGCCCTCTGCCTCTATTTCAGATCCTTGAGGACGACTGAGAACCTTTCCAGAATGTGAACGCCACAGTGGATCATCCATCTGTGCTTAAGATGAGAGCAGAGTGCGGGTTCCCCCAGTCTGTAATGAGGTCTAACAGGGCACAGGGGAATTTCAGCCTGACTGACAGCTCCCTGGACTCCCATCTCCGGCTCGGCATCTATGTTGTCATGTGGCTACTAACAGTGGCATCAGGGCGTTCCAAATTAAAAAAAGGGGTTGATTGTAAAAGTCTCAGAGGGCTTGTCTCACGTCCATTCTGGGCCGACATGCTCCGAGAGATTATTGATTAGTGAGAGGCGGCCATGTTGTTTGAAGACCACGAGTAGAGATTACCCGGAAGAAGCCAATGTTATCTTCACACAGGTTACAGCCTCGAATTTCTAAGTGCAAGTCCAAGACAGAGGATAAGGGGAATTCTTTAACTAGTGGGGGGAAATTCCAGAGTACGAATCAAGGAATAACATCTATAGTAGACAAAAACATAAAAAGTGGTCCGCCAATATTTAAAAGGAAGGAAGTTGGTGATATTTTAATGGTGTATAATCTCAAAATACGCTTGAAATATATGTACTAAAATATTCATGGCCTGAACAGGATTACACTCTCCACTTAGTAAATGAACATTTCCACTCAGTCAGTCGAAAAATAACATGCTTTCTAAATACTTGCTTTTAATTAATTGCACCAGCTCATTTGCCATTAACACCCATGTTTCTCGTCCCTTGTTTGATTAACAAGTCCTCTGCTTCTGATTCACATGTGCAGTGATGGCAACATATTCATTAGTGCTGCAGGATACTGTGTTTGTTTTCTGTTATCCCACTGATGATCATTTTGCATACTAAGAGGCTCAAAACCCCATTTTGTGGAGTCGTTGCAACATTAACTTTGCCAAAAGATGTCATGATACTCCGCTTCTTGGGCATACTTTTCAAATGTCTTACCTGAGGGCTTGTCTTCGTTGCTGTTTAAGAGTGTGGGGTCTGCTTTGTGTTTCAACAGCTGTTTAACGATGCTTGTCTGTAACATTGAGGGAAAGAAATCATTATGCTCGACACCTCTTAAGTCTCTCGTTAAGCGATTATTAACAACAACTGGAGGCAACTGTTGAACAAAAGAAAAAGAAAAGGCGACTTTGAAATAAGTTTGTGTAAGCTCCCAGTCATACAAAGGAAGGTTGCTCATCCATCATCTGTACTGTACTTAGCAGATGATTCAATATATCATTTAAAACTGTGATGTCAATTGCACCAGTCGAGCCGGTGTGACTCAGCTCAGTGTAACTCTGACCAACAGCTGGGAGTGTACAGTATCCATACTTGCCTCAAACTCAGCTGTGCTCACACCCTATAAATACTGTGTGCACGTCACTAACAGCAAACATCTGAACCCCTGTAATGACCAGAGGAGCAGGAAAAGGTTGACTGAATGCTGGGTCAACATGTACCCGATGACCACAGAGCAAGCAGGGGGCAGGGGGAGATTTGATCCACAATGGAGCAAAGGTAATTTCTGCCGACACTTTGCACAATATTTGTACAGTAGGAATTTTGTTTTCAGTACCATCAAAAATAATTGATAAGTTTGTACACCTAAATGTAGATCAGTTACTGTATAATCAAGCTTAGATTGCTTGAGGAGTTGATAATTACATGTTTTTATTTTCTCTCTTCTTTTCTAGTCTACTTTTTTAAGTTTTGGGGGAAGATGCAGGAGAAATCATATCACCAAGCAATGTGGGTGAATCAGTTTGCACAAGAGCATAATTCGCCCAACTGACGAGCCTGGCATTGCAGCAGTCTCCCATCCAAAGGAAAAAAACCTGCTTAGCTTCTGGGATCTGGCTTTGAAAAGCAGATATGACCGTGGAATCTTGATACACCGATGGCTATTTGCCACGAGCTCAAGTGCTAACAACGACCACTGTGTCAAATACCGTATAAAAACTGGATGAATTAATGTTCTGAAATGCAAGGCTTTCTGCACTTCTTTGGATATGATTTAAATGGCCACAATTTAATCCCATCCCAGAAGGACGAAGCTGTATTTCCTCACTGAAACACAAAATGATTCGACTGTTTCCCCGCGAGACGGCAACTTGAAAGGCTGCGAGTCAAGCTGAGAGTGCAAAAAGCCAGGGTTGAACTTATCACAAGACAGACAGAGAAGAACTTAATTAGCTGCAGTAATGGGGTCGTACGTCTTCTTAGAGGGTCAGTCTGTAGTACTAATGCCACACTGCTGAAAGGTCTTTGGGCCCAGTGTAGCAGGTAGCGTTCTGCTTGTCACTAGATGTTCCACTACTGTGCACAACCTTGTGTTACCAAAGGCTTGTTTAACTTGGCTGTTTAGACATCTTGAAATGTCCTGTGGTGCCTTTGTGTCAACAGCAGACAGCTACAACACAGATGTAACAGGAAGTGAGAAGGCCAGGGACTAGTTGCTATGCAGGAAGTAGAGGCCTGGCACCAGTTCAGGGCTGTTTGACGTGAGTGATTTAGGTCTTCAAGAAGAACCTAATCGATTCTCCAATCCCCTGCCCTGCCACTCCTATGTCAGATGCACTTACTAGAGTAGATAGGCACATGCAAAGTAACAACAACTGCAGCCTGTGAGGAAGGCGGGGTGATAAGAAAGGTGGTAGAAGGTTATGTTACAGTCTTAGTCAATTTATTTATTGTGGGTTTGAAAAAAAAAATGTGGTTGAGGTTATTCAATACATAAAACTTATCACTCTTGTGGAACAATTTTAAGTGAATAAACCATCTTAAATAATACAGGTTTATATTGTTCTTTTCTTCAAGAAACAAACAAAACATCAAAACATCAAATACCTGGTCCACAACAGTGAGTTAGAACAAAAAAAAACTTGCAATGTGAGTACATGTATTGTATTGATTCTAAAGATAGATTAGATACATTAATATTGATGCATTTATTTCTTTAGAGGCGAAATAACCAGCTCAAAGGAGTTTCTTTTAGTAAACAGTGATGATCAGTGACTTGAATTAAAATCCTCATCCAGGTAATATTGCCCTCCCTACTTCAGTGAGATATTGAGTGAGAATTTTTCTGCTGATCTCAAATCCTGTGGCAAAGTGGTTTCTTTCCTTGGCTTCCACTGATCAATAAAAACAAACATTGTTTTCCCAGTCTCTGCAGAGTCACTAAAGTGTATCAGGAGTATTTTTTATCTATAAAGTCTTAATTTGATCAATTTAAGTTGAATATCAGAATAAAATGAGTAGTTAACTGCCTCAAAAACATTGCATGCTGTCTACTTGCTCACTTACCTGTCCATATTTAGCTGCTAAATGGAGAGGGGTCCAGCCATGATTGTCTGCAGTGTGGGGGTCTGCACCACTTTCCAACAGCACTGCAGCCACTTCTCTGTAACCACTGGCACAGGCTATATGAAGCTGAAGAATAAAGAGGAACCATTTATAATGCTTTATATTAAGTTGCTTAGTTGTTGGGAAAGACAAAGGAAAAGCCATAGAAGAATGAGACATCTTGTATGCACAACGTACCAGCGTGACCCCATCGTCGTTGCATTGGGTGAGCCCTGCTCCAGAAGCAACAAGCTGTCTGACATCTGACAACATGGTGACAGCTCTTTGCATTTTCATAGTGTGCATAGATAACGTGTCAACACCTATGTAATAAAAACATGGTTGTATATGAGACAAGATGCGAAAAAGCATTCATGAACATAGTATGTTGTAGGTCCGTTGCACACATACGTATTGTTTTATTTCCTTAAGCGCCTGTAGGTTTTTTATTGTAAGTACACATGCATATAACAGCATTTTGCAGTTTAATATTATGAATAAAATGGAGCAGAAATATGTTCAAACTATGACTGATATTGTTCCTGCTTTTTCACACACAAAATAAAAGATATGTCTTATTTGTATTTGTAGCAGCTGCTTTCTGCTGACATTTACATTTTACATTCAACTTATTCATGTGACATTTTTGTAATAATCCTTTTTTCCCCCGACAGCTCCCCACACTTCAATACAATACTTCTTATTCAAGTCACATGCTTGTACAGCAAGAGAACAGTTTTACAGTAGCAAAGTCCCAAACTGGGTTGGCCTCATTTCTCTGATGTAGAGACTCTCAGACAGTCTGTCTTCTTTGTCCTGTCACACCAATCTGATGGGGACAGAGCACTCGCCCAAGTTACCATAGCAACAAAAGGCTGGTATGTGTGCGTAAGTAAGTTCTGCTGTTTGGTAAAGATGCCTCAAACGCACGGGTGGTAAAGGTGGGTGGGACTGGGACCACCACAGTGTTGGATTTTGAGCGTGGTCTTGGCATGCATTTGTCATGTGATGAGGCCCATATTGACCTACAGACAGAAAGATGAAGGAAAACCCTCCATCACAGGCGCTATGTCAACACTTGTCCATTTTCTCTGTGTCTGTCATCTTCTACTGTCACAATGACCACACATGTGTCCCCCGTGAATTCAAATCTGACAGTGTCTGTTCCAGTGTTCCAGAGGGAAAGAAATACAGCTATGGCTCGAAGGCTCATTATCTGCTATTGTGCATGAAATTTACAAATGTCAGACATCTCTCAGAGGTCCTATCCTAATTTTAGGATATAAAAATTCCTCTCCTTTACATTCTTGTATATATACAGATATTGAGGCTTGAACCATCACTCCTCCCAGCACTTCATACTTATGTGCTCTACTTCATATGTGAAAACGTCAGTTGAGTTTAAACCAGAGCTAACATCCTGCATAAGTTTTACCCTTCTCTTCCAGGTATTTGCAGAGGATGAAGTTGGTCTCTGTGCCTTCGGAGGTGTAGTCCAAAGGAATGTTACCGCTGACATCCTGCAGCAGCACATTGATGCCGGCCTGGGAGACAAACGGTCAAGAAAAAAAAAAGAGTTTTAGCAATGGCCATTTGTAAGAGGGAAATCAATGATAAAGTGGCTCCAATTATCTCACAATCCCAGATACTGAAACAGGACAAAACTGTGGAGACTTTACCAAAAGATGCAGCGTAATAAAGCAGTCATTATGAGAGAGCCTCAGGGGGTGGGGCAGGGGGTTGGCCTGGCTGTTACCTGGGATGAGGGGGTGCGACAGATGATGAATGTGTGTTTATTGAACAGTGTTCTGGTGCTTTATGGGGACAGATAAGACGGCCCCTCCAGCTGCTGTAATAGCGTTAATGACAAAGCAGGGGTTGGCTGAATTTCCAACACTTTCTACAGGAAGAACCTCATCTTTCCCACTTGGTCAAGCATCCATCTTGCTGGGAGGCAGAAACCGCACCAGTTAGCAATAGCATTGTCCCACCCAACAGAAACACAAGATTTTCAAATAAAATAGTTGCTGAGCCAAGTTAACAATTATCATTTGAGAAAAAACTTGGTCTCTGTTTAACACTGCAATTTGTATTGGAAATGTAAGGTGCAATATGAATAAAATATATTTCTATTATTGATTGACTGCGGAACCTTCCGCAGTCAACCATTGGTTTTGTATTTCTTTATTCCGTCATTTTTTTTGACACGTTTCACAGCTTTCACATTTTCAACAATTTCCACAAGTTATACATCAAAACGTTCCACATGTTTGGGAGATTATTGCTATTACTTTTGGGACTTCAGCGATTTCCGGTTTTTCCGCAATCGGACAAAAATCTGCATTGAGAATTCTGCAATGCATTTTAATAGGCCCATGCATTTTAATAGGACTTCAGCTCTTTCAGACATTTCTACAGTTTCAATGATTCAACAGTTTCAAGGATTCAACAGTTTCAAGGATTTCAGCAGTTTCAAGATTTCAAGAGTTTCAAGGACTTCAACAGTTTCAAGGACTTCAGCAGTTTCAAGGACTTCAGCAGTTTCAAGGACTTCAGCAGTTTCAAGGACTTCAGCAGTTTCAAGGACTTCAGTGTAATCATGCAACCTAATAGGGATTTTTCCATGTAAACCAGTATAATGCAACTTAATAGGGTTTTTTACATGTAAACCAGTATAATGCAACTTAATGGGGATTTTTCCATGTAAACCAGTATAATGCAACTTAATAGGGTTTTTTTCCATGTAAACCAGTATAATGCAACTTAATAGGGATTTTTCCATGTAAACCAGTATAATGCAACTTAATAGGGTTTTTTTCATGTAAACCAGTATAATGCAACTTAATGGGGATTTTTCCATGTAAACCAGTATAATGCAACTTAATATGGGTTTTTACATGTAAACCAGTATAATGCAACTTAATAGGGTTTTTTTACATGTAAACCAGTATAATGCAACTTAATGGGGATTTTTCCATGTAAACCAGTATTATGCAACTTAATAGGGGTTTTTACATGTAAACCAGTATAATGCAACTTAATAGGGTTTTTTCCATGTAAACCAGTATAATGCAACTTAATAGGGATTTTTCCATGTAAACCAGTATAATGGAACTTAATAGGGTTTTTTACATGTAAACCAGTATAATGGAACTTAATAGGGGTTTTTACATGTAAACCAGTATAATGCAACTTAATAGGGATTTTTACATGTAAACCAGTATAATGCAACTTAATAGGGATTTTTCCATGTAAACCAGTATAATGCAACTTAATAGGGTTTTTTACATGTAAACCAGTATAATGCAACTTAATGGGGATTTTTCCATGTAAACCAGTATAATGCAACTTAATAGGGGTTTTTACATGTAAACCAGTATAATGCAACTTAATAGGGTTTTTTACATGTAAACCAGTATAATGCAACTTAATGGGGATTTTTCCATGTAAACCAGTATAATGCAACTTAATAGGGGTTTTTACATGTAAACCAGTATAAAGGATAACAGTTTAAAGGATATCAGGAGCTTCAAATACTTCAGGAGTTTCAAAGATGTTTAAAGTATTTTAACAGTTTCAAGGATTTCAAGGATTTTTCAGCTAAATTCCACATTAGATCTGTTCCGCAGTCAATCGCAATGGCTTCAGCCATTGCAAGTTTCTAGTTATTATTATTAGTTGTTTGTTTTACATGGACAACTTACATTTCCAGGAAATGCAAGGTACAAATAAAAAAACAAATAAACAATACAACAAACAAAAAACAACAACAAACGCATTTACTGAAACTGTTTTTGTTGATCAATCGTTTCCTGCACTTTGTTTTGTTTTACTTCTGTACTTATAACCTTGTTTTTATCTATGTAGTGTATTGTGCACACCAGGGTAAATAAACAACAGACTATATGTTGATGACAGTTTCCCAAAGTCATTCACTTTAAGATTATAGTTATTGTTTTGATAAAGAATGAATATTCCATAGAATTATATCAATGGATGTCCTCCATTTAAAATAATGACAATATCAAATAAACATCTTCTGACAATTGCAAATATGCCTTTGTAGATCACTTTTAGTTGTTCGTCATAACAACCACAAAGGCCTTGAGGGGAAAAGATTGTTGATGGACCGGGTGAGACCTGACTTACCAAATACTTACAGCTAATAGAATTCTAACGACTGTTTAGCACACAACAAATAGATTTATGACCTGGTACTTCAGCAGTCGAAATGGGAAACAGAAGGGGAAGGCAGAAATTAAAGTGGGGGAGGAAATACAATGAAACATGATAAAGGTTTTTGTGGTTGTAATAGCACACAATCAGCAAGTATACAACCAATAGTCCTTACATGTTTGGAGATTTATATTTTCAGACAAAATAAATATAAATATTTGTTTTGTAAATGTCTGTATTGTCTGTACAGTTTATGAATGGTTCTAGTCTCGGTAGGGGAGTGGATTGTTAGTGGTAAGGGGTTAACAAAGATAATTAATTAAAATGATCACAATCAGCTGCAGCAGATTATTCATGGAAATGGGAAATCTTTTGATAACGGGGGCAGTGGCTGCGAAACAGCTTATGAGATGATGAATGAGTCAACATGTAATTATGCAGCATCACATCCACATACAGCACATGCACGCACACACACAAACCGATGCAAGCACATGCACACATGTAAGTAGACACACAAACGGATGCAAGCAAACGCACACATATATACACACACACACACACAAGCAAGCACAAGCACACAAACACACACGTATGGACCCACAAGTTCAAGCGTAAGCACAAGTACACACACAAGCAAGCACAAGCACACGTGCACACACATACACACACAATGCACAATCAGAGCTCTGTACATGGACGTTTCTCTTCATAATAACCTTTCTATACATTCCAAATGTATACATTAATGGCCATAGATGTCAATATTGTAAGTTCTGTAAACACGGGTTAATGTTGCAGGCAGCTGCACATTATGCCCAAGGTGTAATTGTGGCGACCTCTGGTTGTGACTATCTGCCCTTTGGCATGAGATAAATCAGCCTCAAATGTCCCATTGAAAGAAATGCAGTTGAGCCCTGTTTACTATGGTTCAAAAGACAGCTGTGTCTTCGAATCGATGAATACTAGAAGATCTGTGCGGAGCTTTCCCCGGGGAAAACACATGGTGCAATCAGGTATAGCTGTTCTACAAATATTGATGCTCCTAAACATGAGGGATTGTGCATGGTACTTTTAGCACATTTTAAATGGCAAAGACCATTGACATAATGCTTTTATAAGCCTTGTACATTGAAGGAGAAAAGCCTTTACCTCAGTGGATCATCCAATTCTTCTAAAAAGCCTAAGCAATATTGGGTTTGAAGATAAAATTAACAAGAGTTCATTTGCTTTAAAAACTGCATGTAAAAAGAAAAAAAGACAAATTTTGAATACTTGCATCTCAGGGATTTTATCAATTACATGATAAAATAGGACTCTGGTGCCAAAGTAACATTTTAATAATTTGGTATTGAGTGTCCATATTTTCATCATTATTGTGCTTATCAATATTGTAATAAGAGACTAGCGCACTCATTAAGACCTCTGCAAATAGAAATCTTACAGCATATTACGCAAGATACTGTACTATATAGACAGTATAAAAGCACACTTCTCCAAAGGGAGTGGGAAGAAGAAAGGTCCCACTACTGTTCATTGAAAAAATAGTGTATAGTTGCATCAATCAGTAGAATTTAGATTTGGTGCTTTTCATTAATAGGGCAGGGCACCTTTAATAAGATAAATAGAATATAAAATAGAGAAGTTGAAATGGAAAAGTTGCAGATCAAAAGTGTTAAGAACAGATATAAACTTTTATTTCTTTTGTAAACATCCGGTCCAAAATTCTCAGAGGAAAATTGATGCGTTTGTTGTGTGGGGTAATGTTAAGCACAGCCACTGGGTTTTTAGTTAAGCTCTTCTTCACTTCTGAAAGCTTGATGTTCAAAAGTTTCCAAATCATGGTACACAGAGCTATAAAGTAGGTCACTGCACTTATAACTGAAATCCCATGGAGTTTTAACTGTATTAAAAAATAAATACTGTAATGTGGATCACACAACATCTCAATTAAAAAATGTCAGACTTAAGGAAACACTTGTCATAAGTTACAGTTATTCATAATACACAAGATGCAACTCACAACCTTTTATTCCACCATACAACAAATGAGTACATACTGTAACTGTAAAAAAATAATTAAAAAAGATTACAGGCAGCAAATGTGTATAAAAAGGATAGAAATGTGTTTAAATGGTTTGAATTCTAAATTGTCTTGCTGTTTGGAGCTGAGAGATAAGAACAACTTAATGCAAATCCTTACATGACATTACTCTTGTATTTTCATCCAAAACCCCTCCTCCACTAACTAGACAAGTCTGCCAACGCCTCACAGTCGGCAAAACGCACCTCTGCAAGCAGCAGTGAGGAAATTAAGGACACAACACAAGACGCACAACAGGAAAGAGGTAAGAACACAATATAGCATAGGCTGCATTAACAGTTTGTGTCAATCAAAGATAATACTGTCACACAAGAGACAAAGCATTTTCTTCCATTTTGATGGTAAACTGCTATATTCAGGAGAAGATTCAAAGCAGTGGTGATAAGAAAGTCCTTAAGAAGAGAGCACACAAGAACCAGGACGAGGCACCTGGGTTGGAAGATATGACTGTCAAACTGAATATGTTTGAATAACTGGAAAGCGATAATGTCTCTCAATAGGAGCTTACCGCACCAAGGAGCAACACTTGGAACAGTGAGATAATTCAAGGGTGAAATAAGGACTGTGGGAGCATGATTTGCCCCATTTTTTTTTCATTATTTTTAACCATACAATATAAGGGCTGACAATTATTTATATGAACAGTATTAATACTATACAAAAGGAATGGGCTGAAGTAAAAAGTTTCTGAGCCCCCACCTGAATCTAGTGGTTTTTGTCTTATCTGTAATTTATGTAGTGTCAGATTACCCATGTTTTGTCTGTTCGAGTCTCTCCAGATTGAAATATAATATACAAAACCAACACTTAATATCCATGTAATATCCACTTGGCATCACTTCAAACAAACTGTACACATCTCCACAGACCAAGGCATCAACTCGGGGCCCAATCAAACTCGGCAAATCTTCAGCTAAACCTCAGTGGGTCCAATCAGCATCCGATGTGCACTTTCCTTGATGATGAGTGATGGTATTCCCACCTCTGCAGCTGTCGATGTATGTAGCCCTTCTGGACCTGGACTCGATGTCTACTGCTCTTTTTCTCCTTGTCTTTAGTTGAGTTGCGTTTGTCCTGCTCCTCGCGTGCAAAGCCATTCACAAGCTTGCTCCTTTACAGTATATCTGACTGACCTCTTGCAGATCTTCACACCTGCCTGCTCCCACCGCTCCTCTTCCCCTCTCCAGCTCACTGTCCCTCCTGTCTCCGCCTCATCACCATGGGGAGTAGAGCCTTCAGCCGCTCTGCTCCCCAGCTCTGGAACACTCTCCGTCCTGACCTCCGTGACACCGACTCACTCACTCACACTCACACTCCTTCAAATCCACCCTCAAAACTCGTCTGTTTAGACAATTCTATTCACTTACACCATAACTACACCAATTCAATTCAATTCAATTTAATTTATTCTTGTATAGCTCTAAATCACAACAGTAGTTATCTTGCATAGAGACACATTGCTCAATAAAGGCCACATGACAAATGTCCATAAATACTGTTGATTGTTGAGTGTTCAGCTCATCACTAATAAATGTCATGCTGTTTAACTTTGCATTTTAACTGTCTTCAAATGTACTTTTTATTTGTGATGTAAGGCAACCTTGAGTATCTAGAAAGGCGCTTTGAGAAATAAAATGATTATTATTAGTGTTTTGTGTGTGCGTCTCACCAGGAGCAGCAGCAGCAGCATATCCGCGTGGTCGCACACACAGGCCACATGCAGCGCGCTCCACATGTCGTCATCCTGCAGGTTCACGTTCAGCCCGCGCTCGATCAGGAGCTCCGCTGCAAACACGTTGTCATGGCGAGCACACTGGAAGCACAAAAACTCAGTTCAATGACCTTCTTAATGTTTTCAAATAATACAATACAATTTTTCAACAGAGAGAATCCTGTAAAAGTATAATATATTAAACTAATAAGATCATTAGAAAACATTAATTGCATACACTGATGTGTAAAAAACCAAAAACCGGATGATTCACTGACAAAGCTGATCTAAAGATGTGACAAGCAAGAAAAAAACCCTCCAGAGTGCAATGTTGTAACATGGTTAAAACATAGCATATACAGTGCAGTGCAAATAGAAACAAAGTGCTTCTGCAACATTTAAGATAAAACTAAAATCCCTAAATACATAAATGGTAAATGACCTGTTCCAATTCATGTAACTTGCCCAAAACTGCCTGAGTTTACACTTTATGCGTAAACTGAAAATGTGACATATGACAGTGGTTCCCAATGGGGCTAATTCTGGGCTCTACTTTAGGCTCACACATTATGATGTTATGGTGAGACAATGTGTACACAGTATTCTTTTACAAATACCAAATAAAATTAATAATAAAAAAATCTAACAGTTTAAAGCCTACACTCTACATCCATTTAAAAAAGTAAATAAACATAGTCCTGTGCACTGAGGCCCGAGGGCCAGCTCCAGCTCGTGGTGCCGAGGACGAGACTTAAAACTGGATTACCTAACTTTATTTTTGTATTCATTACAAAAATTCAATCCATATCCATGCAGTGCAGTGGGATCTATGTCTTTTTGAAGAATTTTCCATGGTCACGCCATCCACGTTCAAATGTGCGATCCATATTGTGAGACGCGAGCTCCGTAAACAACAGCACATGAGCAGGGGGGTAGTGGGGGCGAAAAGCTTCGTGAGTTCAGGGAGGGGAGTAAAAAGAGCGAGGGCAACGGTTACGTTTGAAACTGCTGCTTCAAAGTCACAAAGTGGGTTAGTCCAGCTTTAAAGCTCCGTGACTTGTGTGGTTCTTTTTTATTCTGTTTTACTGTTATATGTGCATAAATGTATACATATTCATATTCATATGTGTATGTATATTTATGGCTTTATCCCATTTGATTTTTAATGATTTTATTCTTTTACTTAGTTTTATTAATCTTTTATTGTGCAGCACTTTGGAAACAGTGTTTATGAAATGTGCTGTTTAAATAAATATTGGATTAGATAGTGTGAGTTGAATGCCTCTGATTAACAGATCAGACACAGGCCGGGTGAGACTTTCTTACCAGGTGTAATAGAGTCCCCCCAGAGGCCGTAGTTGTGTTGATGTCTGCTCCCTCCTTCAAAAGTCGCAGCACTGTAAAATCAACAGAATTAACCGGTTATTGACCACCCGACCTTGGCACACAGTCCGACTCTCTGATCTGTGCCAGTCAACATAAATCCGCAGTGAGAACAGTCCTCCAGCCGCCTTTGACATGTCACTGAGGCGAGGAGCGGAGAGTCACAACATGTACTTACAGAGATACTTTAAGGTCTGCTGAGCATCACAACTCACAAGTAATACAAGCAACAGTATTGAGAAGTACAGAAGCAAGCAGCAGCAGAAGAAAAACAAGGTCACATAGGTATAGACAGTGGAGAAGGGATAGAGTACACCTTCAAAATTCTCTATCTAGTCTTGCTTAAAAAGACTTGAAATTCATATTTTTATTTAGATCACTGGAATCCAAAACTTCCCTCTATCTACTTAAAAAAAAAAAAAAAACTACCAGAGACAAGATTTATTCCTACACATATCATACAGAAAAAGAAACTGTTCAGGCAACTTCCGTTTCTCCCATTGCTCTTAAGTCACTATATACTTAAGTTCCCCTTTATTTTATCACAAATCAAATAAATCAAAATCAAATACAGTCAAAGTAATATTTCCGTGTTTACGTAGGAATCTTATCGCACAGAGCCATTCTAAACACATTGAGTAAGAAATGTTGTAAAATGAAACAGCTCAAAAACATGTCATCTTTCTTGTGTGTGTGATTCAAAGACAACTTCAGAGTCCCAGACCCGGACCACAGTTCATGGTGTGCAGCGTGAGCCAGGAGTAGAATAACATGAATAATATCATCAATAGCATGAACTGCATTAATATGTTGTGGACGCCTTTGAAGATGTAATGTCAAATGTGAAAAAATAATAAAGACATTATGAATAATATGAGGAATATACTGTGCCAGAATATATTGGACCACATTTACTATTAGATTATTGTTAGAATTATAGAAATAAAGAGAATAATAATATATTTTTTATTTATTTGTCAGCTATTTTAGTAATTGATACATTGTTTTCTGCTGTATAAACAGACTAAAAACATGTGCATGCTGAGAAATGTCTTTTTTATGACTCAAACCAACAGGGCAGTAATTTGATTGAAACAATGAAACAGGAAATGTCTCATTTGTAAAGATTAAACAGTCCATTAGGACAAGCTTCAGTAGTTTCACTTCAGCATGAGAAAACTTTCAACAGCAAGGAAGTGCAGTATACCTTACATGTCTCTTATACATAGAATAATACAGTCATATAAAGTTGCAACAGGTATGACAAACACCAAAATGTCAGTGGCAGACAGGGTGCCGTGGGACACAGTAGTTTAAGAGGTTATTCAGCCTGACCTTCCACCATAAATACAGCCATCACTGTCAACACCTCTTGCGATCTTTACACAAAACCTGGAGCTCAGCAGACAGTCGCCATGGCAATTACCCTGGCGATAAGTCCATATAATGAACTCTGATGATGAGCCCCGAGAGGTCATTTCACTTACAGGGCCGTTATCGCAGCAGCAGCAGTAAATAAACGTCCACATATACAGCTCACATCTTTATGATACAAGACAAACAAAAAGCAATACAAAACACTGTCAGGCTGCATTTGTCTCACCGTGTTACCGACTTCAAACGTGATAAAATGTGCAGCATGGATTTTCTGTATTTAAATATACCATACACACCTACTATAGCTGAGACAAAGACACAGACTTTCACCTCCACCCACGCTCCACCATGTTCACATTTCCTGCCTATATAAAAAGTTTACTAACTTTACTAAGAAATACACACACAGGTAAATGAACAACTCGTTTAATTGTAGCTTGACCAATAGAGCTCAAGTTCAATGATAAAAACGTTATCCCTTCAAGGTACAATATCATAAATGTATCAGGGCCATGTATATTGACCCTGAGACTGACAAGGCACATGCAGTCTGGGCTCTCAGGTCTAATTCCAAGCAGGACCATTTGTTAAGCTGGTCAGTGTTGCCAGTGGCATATTCTGTTGACTTCTCGTGCAAAGAAAACGTGCCTAATGAGAGGTGAGAGGTCAAGAGCCATGTATTGACCCTGTAGGTTATAATGAACATAAACTAAAGTAAGCATGTGGCAAAAATTGTAACAAGGAATCATTACAACAACATTCAAGCGCAGTAAAGACAATGACTAATGATGATAGAACAGGACAGGAGTTACCCTAACTGGGGACATTTGTTTATTCCCTATGTTCTTATACTGTAGCTGGGTTAAAGATGTTTAAAATCACAGAAAATAATACCTGGTTCCCATTTCTGAAAATAGTTTGGTTCTATCATTAGTTTTTAGGCCTCTGTCGGCTTTTTCAGACAGAAAAGAAAAAGAAACCAACCTCAGCTTGTAACTGAGGGCTCTTTTTAAAGGCAGATCATATTTTCTAATAAGAGGAAGAAAGCATCTTGTCACCTGATTTGTTTAAAGTGTATTTTCAAATACAAAGATTATAATATAATACATTAAGGAAACTGTAAAGTGTTGTCATTTAATTTAAATGTGTACTATTTTACACAACATCCTAGAACTGGTCATTGTTCTGGGCTGACAAAAATATTGGAATTTGTTTATATCCGTTTATGTCTACGGACGTTTAAAATAATAAAATAACATTTTGCTGCAGAATAATGTACTGTTGTCCTAATATGAGCCTGTTTGTATTATAATGTGATGTATCATTAACCCTCACCCTGACCAATTTGGTTGAAAACACTGACAAATATATCTTGCAATATTTATAAAAATGTACACTTATTTATCCCCTTCAGGAACTTTGTCCTCTGCATTTTACCCATCCAGCAATGCCACCAGGGCCTCTGTCAGGAGCAGTGGTCGCCATAGTACAGAGCCCGGGAACCCCTTTCCAGATGTTGGAAATCTGATTTTGTCAGAACTACCGGAGCAGGAGCATTTAACCTATTGCCCTATTTTCAGCTGGAGGGAGAACTGGAGGAGCCAAAGGAAACCTATGCAGACACGAGGAGAACATTTAAACACTAAGAAAGACCCTTTTTTCCAACTGGGGCTCAAACCTTCTTGCTGAGGAGGGAGAACGCTAACCACTGTGCCACCGCATCACCAGACTATTGGACAGTTATAATGAGACTTTTGATGTTGTTGACTTGAGGTATGAAGCATGCTGAGAGAGCGTCACTAACGATCATGGCTCGGTAATATTTCCCATGTGGAATCCATTAAGATTCAGAGCTACATATAAATCCAGCCCACTCAGCAACAGTCATAGCTCCAGCCAAGAGCCTGTTTAAGGTGTGGGAATGAGAATGCCAATTTGTGGAATATTGTAAAACAACTGTTCAGAGACATATATGGAGTTCCCATGGTAACGAGGCACAGGCAGAAGAGAGAGAGAAAAAAGGAGAGGTGTGTGTAGAGCTATACAGGTGCACTGACAATCTGATCTGCCTTTGCATTACATGTTATTACAGTAAAGGAGTGTGGAATAGAAAACTCTACAGTCTTCAATATTGTGGACATTCATCGCAACTGGGCTACAACACATGCAACGTGATACTCGTGCTTGGTTTTCAGCACCAAAATAAACTTGTTACTCATGTAAGTAAAAAAACACTGAAAATATCAAAGAAAGTAGAGGTAAAATCATAATTGGATTAACAGGAATCATTTAATTTATTTGAGCAAAAACTCTAAATATATTATTATCAAACTATGCGGTTAAAAAGACAAAGCTGATGGACAAAACTGAAATAGAATTTTATACTCTGTGCCCCTTGGATTTGACACAATAAAACATGGTATGGCACATGTCGGCAAAGACAAATCTTCCATTTTTCCAAAGCATCACTTTCCGCCAGCCTAGAATGAGAGTCCCTGTGATCGCTCAGCCTGATGAATAGTTGGACCTCGTTGGTTATCACACAGCAGAAGATGCGCTTCACAACGCCGTTCTATGTTTCAGAAATGAGCTTTGAATTGTTCCCATTGTTTCCATCATGATGAAAAATGACTTTTGTATTAACTTACAACTGGCTGCTTGCAGGAACAAAATCCAAAATTCTTGTGTTAGATATATGTTAGAAGTGTTAGGTTGTGCTGGTGATCTTCTAACCTCTAATCAGGATTTTAAATTCAATAAAAAAGCAAGTTTCCAGTTTCAGTATGACAGTAAAAATAACAAACATGTTTTCCAACTATATTTATGATGCAAACCATATCAATCGTGGAAGCCCTGATAACCCAGAATTGGACTAATGAATGGGATGGAAAAGAATAAATGAATAATAGCACTTGGCATTTCACACCCACAAGCACAATGGAAAAAACTCAGTTGCTTTATTAAAAGTGTGTGTGTGTGTGTGTGTGTGTGTGTGTGTGCTTGTGTCTGTCTGTGTTAAAATTACATCAAAAACTATTTCTCATCATTATGTTTGGCATTTGCCTTGGGTCATTCACATTGCACGAAAAATATGAGTCAACTGAAATGTCAATGTTAAAGAAACCTCTGTGAGGAGTTGGCTGAGTACACCAAGGTTATTTTGTACAGAGCTTAAGCGTTATCACCTGTGAATAGAAAGCTTGATGTTTGTAAAAGTGTCTCCAAATCCACTTTATGACTCATGGGACCTTGCCTTTCTGTCACAAAGACAATTGTTTACTGAAAAGCAGTTAAGATGAATGTATACCTCTCGGGTGTTTGAGCTGAGTGCACAGTGATGGTGTATAAAAGCATGTTGGAGTTTCCTTTATTTATCTGAGCTAATTCTCACTGCAGCCTTTTTATTCTAAAACAAGACTACATTCATTGTCTCTGTAGTTGCAGAGGCACTTGAATAATTCCAAAAATTCTTGCTATGAAAAATACCTGGACAGTTATGAAATGATAAGTATAATACAGCAGAATCATAGACAGATCATATGTGTCATGTCTTCAGCCGTACGACTCCGCTCTCATGCCATGATGCCTCATGATGCCTCTTGTTAAAACTCTTTTTTTTATCATTAGCATTATATATGTATATGTGTGTATATATGTATGTATATGTGTATGCATGTTTGTTGTCCTTCCTTTCCTTTAAATGAAAAATAAAAGGTAAAAAAATAAATAAAAAAAACTCTTGGGCTACTTCAAAATTAAATGGATTCACGTCTTGCAACAGACAATTTCTAAAGATACAAACCATGATTATTGTTTGAAGGGTAACAGCTGCTACACTTCAACTCATCTACAATGAATTGCTTAAAAGAAGAAAAACAATTCGACCAAATGCCAGAGAGTCACAGAGCATATTGGAATATGTATTCTCTTTCCTTTGTTCCACCGCAGTTACCCTTTTTAGAAATTGTGATTCACAGAGCTGTGTTATAGGTCTGATTAACTTGTGTCCTGTCAGCAGAACACACTCTTTCTCTGCCGTATCACAGAATCTCCTTCAAGTGGCTCACTAAAGACTACCTTTAATTAAGAAGCTGGGATTCTGTTGTCAGTCTCCTTTCTCTGCTTGCATATTAAGTGTGTACTGCATACTTTGTGATTTCATTGTCGATATTTCTGCAGGTGCAAGGGTAAATTCCTTTAATTATTAGCCTGGCTCCATTCCAATAGCCATTACTCTGATGAGCACCAGCATTTCCATTTCTTATCTCATGAAGCCACTGGCAAGAATTTGTATTTCCTTTTTTGAATCTGGTAATCCAACTACACAAACAAATCACTCTATTCTTCTTGTAGGCAGACATGTGGCCAGTGCCCCGTTCACTGTATTAATCCCCAGGCAATTACTACCATCGTGGTTACACTCTCTCACCTCCTGAAATACTCGAGGGGATCCATAAATCATGTATGATCAGGGTCCCAGCAAAGGTTAGAGCCTGCAGCTAATTCTTCAGGTCAAAATACCTTAGAAAACGTATATTAGTAATTAACACAAGAATAAGTGGAGTGATAGAATGAATGCTGGGAAAAAACCGCTTGCTTGCAATCAGTGGACTTGCACAGATGATAATACTTAAAGCATAAACAACTAGGGGATTTGTTTTTGCTATAACTTAGGGCTGGGCGATATGGCAAAAAAAAAAAATCTCCGATTTTTTCACACCAAATCCGATTTTCGATTTTAATCGATTTATTTTTTTCTATTTAAAAACAAACTACAACTGACAAAGAAATACATTTTCCTTTATGCAGTTTAATCTAAATCCCCATGGAGCATAAGTGTAACAGGAATTAAGCCTTAAAACATGCTTGTAAACGGGATGGCTCTGCCATTGTAAACAGTGAAAATGTAGCTCAACAGTTTTATAATAACTTCACTTACAATGACACTATGCACCTTCAAAATAACTTAAATCACACAAACAAGGCCCATCGCAAATATATCAATCCTATTAAACACATGCATTATTTACATGAAATATCACATTTTTAAAACTGATTACTCAAAATAGAAATGTTGTAACAGACAGTCTTTTCCAAAAGCCTCCTCGGGTTTTCATGCTTGTTCTTTCAACTGTGCCTGAGTAACTGTGCTGTAGTACAACGCTCGGTCCAGCTGGTGGCGCTAATACTAACTTCAGTGACTCCCGCATTGTGCGAGCTTCCTGTTTACATTCTGATGCTGTAGCTAACAGCTACTGTATACTGGGTTCATTTACAAAGCCATGGGGATTCTCATCCCACAAAACAGACATTGAGGGACTGCTGGGAATATGGCAAGGCCCAGAGAGATCATTTTGGGAAAGTGGGGGACCAGATGGCTCAGAACTATGGTATTTATGATCTTCAGATTAGTTCTGCTTTAGTGTTTCCTGCAATACCCCCATGGAAGTTGGCGTGCCCAGGAGTAGATTGGCACCTGCTGGACTTGAAGAAGAAGGAAAAAGGGAGGGTTGATCTGGTTGCAGCTTTTGAGTACCACGTATCTCAACTCTACTCAAGTCATATTCACATCTTTACGGATGGGTCAAAGAGTCCAGAATCTGAGGTTACAGGATTCGGAATAGCGGTGCCAGGAAAAGGAGTTGGTATTAACAGACGAACATCTAATGGTTTGAGTGTTTACACAGTGGAGATGGTTGCTATATTAGTGGCGTTAAGGTGGGCAGAGCAAGCTAAAAAGAGTAGGGTTTTAATATGTTCTGATTCAGCGTCTGTGCTTTCTAGTGTCCAGTCTATACAATCACAGGGTCGACAGGATATTTTGTATGAGACTCTATTGACAGTTACTAGAATTCATCAGCAGGGGAACACGGTGCAGTTTCTGTGGGTACCATCACATTCTGGTATTCTAGGTAATGAAGTAGTGGACAGACTGGCAAAGGGTGCACTGAATAAGGCAAGGGTAGAGATGAGTGTGAAAAGTAGCAAGAGTGAAGCAAAGAGTGTGGTGTGGAAACGAATAATTTAGGAATGGCAGACACGTTGGGAGACAGGGACCTCAGGAAGGCATTTTTATCACATACAGAAAGAGGTGAGCGATGGCAGAAGGCAGGGGGGCCATCGGAGGGAAGAAATGGTCATGACTAGGCTTAGATTGGGGCATTGTGCACTGAATAAAACACTGTGTATCATAGGGAAGCATGAGACGGGGCTCTGTGAGGGGTGTGAAGAGCAGGAGGAGTCTGTAGAGCACGTGCTGTTGCACTGCAGGGGATATAGTGAGTGTAGGGAGGTACTGAAACAGAGGCTTAAGGAACTGGGGGTTAAGGAATTTAATTTAAAGAGTATTTTGGGTACTGGAGGGAGTGCGCAAATGAGGGCATTAGTGTCGTTTTTAAAGGAAGCCGGGTTATTCAGCAGAATATAGATATAGTATAGTTAGGTATGTATGAATTTTGGTTAGTTATTTTTATTTGTATTTTGTAGTATTTTTTTTTTTTTTTCTTTTCTTTTTCGTTTCTTTTCTTTTACAATTCCCTTGGTGGGACCACAGACTGATAGTCTGTGGGGTTAGAGTGTGAGCCTACTGACCCATCCACGGAACAGAAGGTGGCGGTAATGCGCAAAAATAGGTCGCCAACCGCCGGAAAAAACCTAACAAGAAGAAGAAGAACAGCTACTGTAGCAGCTACAGTAGCTAACAGACAGCGGGGAACACGTTGTTTGTATCAGAGCAATGAGAGCAATGTGTGAGACGTGTCTTTCCCCAAAGTGCAGCGGCTCAGTGGGACACGAGTGTGTGCGCGCCACGGACACGGGAGTGCGCTTTGGAATAACGAGCGTGAGAGAGCGTGAAAGATGTGGCGTACGAACATGGCGTAAGAACATAGCGACCGGAGCTTGCGTGCGTGTGTGTGTGTGTTCTGGCGATTACATAAAGTCTGATTCTTGAACGTTTGAAGTGTTATTGCAACAGCACCAACTGTGAGAGCGAGCATCAGGCCAGAGGGAGACTGTTAGCATTAGGTTAGCTTCAAAATGACTGCTCAACACCATAGACCCGCGGTTAGCGCGTTAGCGCTGTAGTTCTGCGCTGGAGAAAATAAAAATCGAATTTAAAAAAAAAGAAATCGCCCTAAACGTAAAACTCAAATTAATGATTAAAATCGATTAATCGCCCAGCCCTACTATAACTCGATCAGCTGCTGTGCCAGTCCCGAGCTGAACCCCTCTTACTTTCAGGGAGCAGGGATTAGCACAGACTCCTGACAGAACGGATACAGATCCACATAGGCAGCTGGCCACCTGACAGCCAAGTGTCTGCACACTCCTGCAGAATACACAGACTTTCAATAGACTGATGCACTTTAAAAAGACCTGAAAAGACCTGGGGTAATGAGTTTGTAAATGTGTGTGTTCATTCAAGATAAAGCAAGTGTGCATGATATAAATATAATGTGAACAGAGCCACAAAACTCTGTTCCACTCCTGACATTAGATTTTATTGTCCACTCACCCCAATACTTTGGACTGGGTGCCCTTTGTCAGACTTCGTAATGTATTTCATGTTTATGTGGCCGTTTTATTTAATATTTATGATTCCGTTTTACAAGGAGTCAGACACTTCCGAAAGAATGTAGTAATGTAGTTAAAAAAGGTGAAACAGTGAAATATGTCTCAGTAGTTCACTATTATTAGTATTGATGCCAGGGAACTTTATATCAATATAACATTATATATTCTTTATTTGTTTTGTTGGTCTATGGTTTTGTAAGTCATTATTACATTATGTTTTACTCACCGTCTTTGTCATCATGGCGGATAATGGCGTCTTGCAGAATGTCTGCGAGTCCAAAGCGAACACGGCCTTTCTTCTTATGGTCAGGCAGAAGCCGTACCCTGCTTGGCCCTGGTTGGCGCTGTGAGTTCTTCTCTCGTTCGTAGTAGGCTTTGATTTGGTCACAACGCATCCGCCTGACCAACCGCTGCCGCTGGCCGATCGGGAGTGACTCCAGGAGACACTGGTCAATCTCCATATTGTGACGAAAGACGTTACATAGCTGAAAGCAACCTGGGAGCAGAGAACAACCAAACAAAATTATTCAGAAATGAATTTGAAAAACTTCCTCAAAACCAATATGAGTTCTTACATCCAATAGCTCACATTGCTACCTAATATAACGCACAACAAGAGTTTTGATACTTGAATAAATAATATCTACCTTATTTTTTATTATCATGTAGGTATAATTAGACTAACATTTCAAACTCTACAAAGGATAATTCTAATATAACTAATTCCATACAAATGATTGAATTTATTTTCATAAGATTAAAATGATGAACTAACTTAGTTAATTTACTTAGTTATAATAACACTAACTAGAGTTTCTGAGGGGATAAACACATAATTAGTTTGTATTTTATACCATGTTGTGTTCTTTAGATAACATATTAATATAGTTTATGTTATTATTACGGAAAAAAACACAAAATCAAGTCAAAGAGCTCAAACTCTTCATAAGCGTGTAAAAGAGAAAGTCTCATCTAAAAAATCTTTCGGCTACATTGTCTGGTGTGCCACTGGAGATAAAGCATCCAATATTGAAACTAAGTATACGTATGCTACCGTAGTTTTAGTTTCAGCTAATATCACGTTATTGCATTTTGACTCTAATCTAATCGATATTATGATGACTGTTGTATTCATCTTAGTATTGATTTAGTTGCCTTCAGTGATTTATTTACACATTGTGATGTGTTTATTTGTGTTCAGAAGTGAGAGGTACATGACAGCATCTGTGTGTAGCCTTTGCTAGAGCAAAAGACTGCAGTGGGGCTCTTTCAATGCAAAATATTCCTGCCTCTCAGCAGAGCGGAGCCAAATAGACTGGAAACAAAATACCCCATCCAGACTGTGACTCTCACTGGTATCTGGAGGTCTAGAAGAATGACTAAACACATTTCCCAAGTACTGGGCAAGATAGATGTGACATTTAGTTAGAATTATCATGTTGAAAATATGGTTTTAGGTCACAGCTAGTCCATTCACAAAGCCCTTTAGCATTCCAAACATTTGAAATTTGTATGTCTCTTTGTGACTCACCATTTGCCTCTCCATATATATTGCATTTTAAAAGCAATATATATAAAGCATGACAGTGATAATCATTTCTAATTTAAAGCTTGTGTGGTAAAGGAAAGATTAAAAGGAGCCCCTACATCTTTGTAACATTGGTCTGTCTGTCTGATATACATCTACAACCTGTATCAGTTCACCATGTTCATGCAAACACACTTGAACTATACACAGCTCTGTTATAAAGCACTGATGCCATCTGCTCTGGCAGACCACAGGAAAAGCTCTCTTTGTGGTTGGGCTTCAGAGGAGAGCTGAGAGTTGAACTTTTCAGGACAGGTGTCTACTTCAACTGTATTCAGGTACTTGGCTGCAGGTCGCAAAACAAACCCAAAAAGAAGCCTTACTAATTTTCCTCCCTCTCGTCAACACAATGACATTGAAGCTTTATATGGTTTGTTCTCTGTTGTGCAGGTGTCTTTCTTGTCGTCCATAGAGTATTTTAAAGGCAATGACTGTTATATCTTGAGACAAAACAGAAAGCACTTTGAAAGGAACAAACAGTACCACTGCCATCACAACCTAAACATAAAAACAGCAAAGAGGATTACAAACCCGAGAAAGTTATATAACTATAAAAGGTTTTGTTAGAAAACAACTATATTCTCATTACACAAACAAACCTGCAAATGAGAACAGCAACAATAACATTTGGAGCAGCAAACAATACAGTGTTTAACTACATTATATCTGTGCATACCAGAACACAATATAGGATCATGTTCACAGACCGAGAGCTATAAGGATATATTGTAATTTATATTTAGGAGCAGAATGACTGGAGTACTGGAGTCACTCATGACTCCCACTGATGACTGCTGTCGTTGTGTCCTTGGGCAAGACACTTAACCCCACTTTGCCTGAAGCCCCCGCTGAAAGATCTCAGCTCCTCAGCAAGATCTCAGGCACTTGTCCTCTCCCATCTCTGTGTGGAGTGAGAGGACAAGTGCCCAAAAAATAACAATTGTAAACCGCTTTGTGACTCTGGTCTGTGAAAGGCGGTATATAAATAAAGCTTACTTACTTACTCCTGTGGACTCACCACCTGCAGGAGCATCAGTGAGGGGTTGGTGCTCTGTGTACTGGGTGCAGCTCTGACTGCCACCCCCCCGACCCAGAAATGGATTAAGGGGAAGAAAATGGATGGATGGATGGATGGATGACTGGAGTAACTAGAATATCATTGAGTGTTGGGTTTAGAGTACACATCCCACAGAGCTGAATGAATAATAAAGATGCAATTGAGAGAGAGACATAAAAAGCTGGAGCATTATCTCTGTGCCCTCCCATTTCCAAAGCTATCAGCTATTGATTGAACATGGAACATCCCATGCCGGCTCCTGCTAATAACCCTGACAGTATTGCAGTAGCTTGGAAATGAATGAAAGAGCCAACTAGAGCAAGCTGACTAAGAAATATTAGACTGCATACCTGCTCCTGTATGCAAATGCCCTCTCCTGGTCATTAAGCCATTAGTTTCAAATAGCATCACTTTCCCCTCCGCCTGTCTGTCACCAACACATCTCCATTTAAATCAGCATTCCCCCCTCCTCCATCTGTCAATGTATTTCTCCAAAAAACACATTCAGGGCTATGAATATGCCATACTCTTGTGGATTATTTTTTTTAAAGATCACATGTTGCTATATTTTAAATCTACTTGTCTCTTTGCCACTACCTGCCGCATATACCGGTCAACTTCCAAACATCTGCAGCAGGGAGCTCTCTGCGGCACACACCCACTAACACACATTGGAAGTTGCTGTCACAGATGTCAGTGTAAGCTTCGACACACAGAACCACCTTTATCATACTAGAAGCCACACTAAAACACATGGCTTCCAGTGTGATCTTGGCATGCACACGGTGGGCATTGCACATGTAGTCATGCATTATGGTTACTCACAGCATTTGATGAAATGATAGTGAGACATTTTCAGAATCCAGTGATACGAAACGAGAGTGTGGGTCAGTCGGCCAGTAGACAGTGGTGGAGTAGGCAGCTACAGGTTTCACCCAAAACTAGCGAGGATCTCATAACCAAACTGGATGCATTATTAATCTGCTGGCTGCATGCACTACCCGGTCTGCATAATTCACCAGCCGTGGTAGTAGTAGCAGAAGAATCAGCTCCTATTGCAGCAACGCCGGGCGGCATCTATGTTTCTCACTACCTCTCACTCTCTCCTGCTCCGTCTCTCTGCCTCGGTCAAGCTGTCTGCGAGTTTGCAGCTGTCCCTAACTCTCCCCTCTTGCCTGCAGTTCGAGGAAGAAGAGGAAGAAGCATCTACACAGCCATGACGGTCGCACGTGCACAGACCAGCGTCACTCATAGACAACCGGTAGCAGCAGCAGCAGCAGCATCCCTCCTCCCACGGATCGCACACCCCCCGATGACGCAATGCTTATCCAGCTCCTACACGGCCGACATGTATGTGGTGAATTCTGCACCTTGTGAGCGGAGCAGAGAGGCAGGCTTGGAGTAACGGCATAGAGTGACAGAAACAGTGGAAAGGCTTGGTACAGCAGGGGGAGCAAGAGGAGAAAAATTCAACAGTATGAAGCCAAAGTGTAAAGAATTGCAATGGTGAGAGAGGGGAGCTGCTGCAGTGCGGTACATTTTTTGAGATGACTCCTTCTCGCTTTGATACAAATTAAAATACTGAGACAAATGGCTAGTGCGCTTTCAATGCTTGTCACTGAGCAGTAACCATATTGCAATTTCAAAATCAAGTCAGTGGGGTAATGCAATCTCACTCATGTCTGTAGGGAAACGTGCTTTACAGCTGGTGGTGGGGATTAAATTATCGGAAGGCATGTAGCTACAGACTTGAGCTGCATGTGTGACTAAACCGTTAACATGACACAGAATTTTGAATGTGTGCCACAGCCTTGTATGCAGTGTATAACACAGTCTAACACAGTCAAACAAGGATATTCAGGGATGGGGTGGGCAGCTGAGGAACAACTGAGGACTATTTAGGACATAGGACAGATGAGGACAAGGGGATAAAATGCAGATGAAAGTGAGTTTGAGTGCAGCTGTAGATCAATGTGTGTCTGAATACTCAAGTGTATTTTGACATATGAAATTAGGTCATTCGCTTGGATCAAATCTGCCAGAGCACGAGCGAATATATAGAAAACACTACCTGGGGAAAAGATAATACAGACATGCATGCAGTGAGCAGGACCTTAAATTAGATTTCAAGTTGCATGAAGGATAAAAATGAGTAGTATCCCATTTCCAAAGCAAAAAAGGGATTATATGAAAATATACAAGTGATAATGTAGCCTGATGATTAGGCTTAAATTAATAAATACAAAATAATCAATAAACAATGAACATAGAGATAATCTCTTTTCCAGTATAAGCATTTAGTATAAACAGATCATCAGGGTATCAATACATTTGCTAACACAAATGTATGACTACTCCTGAACAAAAATCTGAATACTTAAAAATAAAACAATAATTTGAAGTGGCTCTTAATAAGATTTCAAGTAGAGCAGGCGTGTTAAAGTCAATTAGGTCAAAGGCCGAAATAAACAAATTATAGACGGTCGGGGTAACAACTTTTTTTGCCTATATGCGAGTAAAGTTTGCTTAAAATGTGGTTACAATTAATTTAACGTATGTTCGGATGTACAACAACAATGTAACTAAGCAATGTATTGAAAAGTTTAGAGCCACATGCTTTAAAAAATAGTTCCCTTTTTTGGGTTGTGAAAATATTAACTCAATAACCTCAGCGCCATTTGCTTCTGAGACGCCTAGACTTCCCTCTCCACACACATGTCCTCTAGCTCATCCAGGAATCTTGAGGCGTTCCCAAGCCAGCTGAGATACGGGGCCCCTTCAATATGTATAGACCTTCCCTTGGGTCTCTTCCTGGTGGGCCTCCAGGGAACAGATACCCAAGCCACCTCAAACTGGCTCCTCTGAATGTAAAGAAGCAGCAGCTCTACTCTGGGCTCCTTCTGTGTGACTTGAGCTCCTCACCCTATCTCTAAGGGAGTGCCCAGCCACTCTGCAGAGGTAACTCATTTCGATCATTTGTATCCGCAATCTCATCCTTTCAGTCTGTACCCAATGGGGTGGGGCATAGATTAACTGGTAAATTGAGAGCTTTGCCATTCGGCTCAGCACCCTCTTCCCCGCAACGGTCCGATACAGCGACCGCATCACTGCGCACGCTGCAACGCTCTGTTTGTCAATCTCACGCTGTATGGCCATAAAGAATTTCTTAAATGACCCTGAGGGTAATCAATCATGAAGATCAAGAGAAAGACCAAAAAAGATAACACTAGCGTTGAGACAGGGGATCCAAAGGTCTCCATATGAATACTGACTGCAGCAATAAGAAGCCCCCCTTCATCTAAAACTTAAGATCTTCAAAAACAAAGAACATCTTCAAAGGCTCGACTCCTTGAAAGCCACAGAACTGACCGTTTGGACAAGTAAGCACCAAAGACAGGGAACTGAGAAAGTGAAGAAGTGAAGAAAGTTGTATTCTCTGTTGAGAAAGAAAATGTAACCTTTATAGTCCTGATGGTTTCAGCAATACTGACAAAAAGGCAAATCTGTTTCTTTCAACAGGACAACAGTACAATGCCCACTTTTAATTAACCTCACTCTCTGAGAGCAGGAATGAGTAGAGGTAAAAACGCATGTTACCTGCTACCCCTGCCTCTGTTACTGACACATTATTGGTGCCTGCCGATTTGAATGCAGGTGCCAAAGTTGAGATTGCGACTTTTAGATTATCGGCCAGGGTGAACGTCTCTGCTAGCAAATCAATCAATCAATCAATCAAATTTTATTTATAGAGCCCTTTACAATACACAAGGCGACCAAAGTGCTTTACAATAAAATCACATAAAATCTTTTAAAAACATTCATACAACCAAACAATAAAACAGTCAGATAAAACCATGAGAAACGAAAGTGTCGCCGTGCTACTGAGTATTAAAAGTCATTCTGAATAAACATGTCTTAAGCCTGGATTTAAAAAGGCCAAAGTCAGTGATCAGATCAGAGGGCAGCTTGTTCCAGAGGTTCGGTCCAGCAACTGAAAAGGATCGATCACCCCAATGTTTGGACCGAGTCCTAGGCACTTACAGTATGAGCTGATGAGACGACCTCAATGATCTGCCCGAGTCACGAACTGTTAGAAGTTCGGACAGGTGTGAAGGGGCGAGACCATTGAGGGTTTTAAAAACAAAGTTAAAATCCACTCTAAAAGAAACCTTGAAGCCAATGTTAAGAAAAAAGGACTGGGGTGATGTGCTGACGTCTGGGGGTGTTTGATAAAAAATGAGCTGCAGCCATTTGCATATAGTCCGTTAGACATTGTACATCACTCTTTATTGGATGAAATGGGCAGATAGAGTTGCAGATAATCTGCATAGCAGTGAAATGCCAAATTATGGCGTGCAATAATGGACCCCAGTGCCAACATATAAAGAGAATACAACATGGGGCCCAAAATAGAACCCTGAGGTACTCCACATGTCAAAGAAGCAATAGAGGAGGACAGATCACCAATCATTACAGAAAATGTTCGATCTCTGAGACATGATTGGAACCACTTAAGTGCAGCACCACAAATGCCAACATGATGTTTCAGGCGAGACAAAAGAACAGAGTGATCAACAGTATCAAACGCTGCTGTTAGATCAAGAAGCACTAAAGCAACAGGGCATTTAGCATCAACAGACAGGGTGATATCATTGTGTACCCGCAATAGGGGTGTATCGCGATACTTTCTCCCGCGATTCGATTATCGATATGCCTTTGCCAAGTATCGATATAGATTTTAAAAAACAAAAACAAAAAAATATTTGTTTATTTTTTTACACATTTTTATTTTTTAAAATTGGTATCAATACTTGATATATGGCTACATTAAGCATCTACATTTCATTTATCATTTAAAATAGTGTATTTTTTCTTTTATTTATGCCATAAATTGGCATATAGTATATTTCTGACCAATATATCGATAATCGTTATCATGATATCGTTATCGTGATAATATCGTTATCGTGAGCTTTGTATCGTGTATCGTATCGTATCGTGAGGTACCCTTAGGTTCCCACCCCTAACCCGCAACAGCGCGGACTCTGTGCTATGTCTTGTTCTGAACCAAGATTGACATTTTTCAAGAATTGAATTGCATTCTAAAAACAAGACAAATTTGACACAGGTCTAAAATTTGATAAAACAGAAGAATCGAGCTGTGTTTTTTTTAAGCAGGGGTCTAACTACAGCATATTTGAAAATATTAGCAAATTACATTGGGCCGCTGTAAAAGTGCCACAGTTTGAGAAACCAGTACACTCCCCCTTGCTGGGTGCATTGTCGGTCAAGTATAACACAATGTCTATAGCATTAACATGTTTGCCACACCATCCAGACCTCACAGCAGTGGATCTGTCAGGAAAATGTCATGCCTTCACCTTCCAAATGTCGAGGCGCATTAAGGGCTGCAGACAAATCTTAGCCATGCGTGCCTGCAGCAATAGACATGTAACAAGCTGTATCAGCCACAGTGACAAGAGGGGACAGAGGTGAGACAAGGATTCACTGCAGGAAAAAAATCCCAAACTACTCTGAGCTAGACCAAAGGAATGATAAGGTGCTATCATGGCGTTGCTCTGCACTGCCACTGCTGAAATTAGGTCAACATCAAAATGTTACAGAGGGAAAAAGAGACAAGGCGATAGTGCAGACAATAAGAGAGAAGTAATTGTTCTATTTATATATCAAAGTTTGTTTGATCAGTATTAAAGTGTGTCTGAGATGTTATTGACAACAGACTGAAAATGGCAGAATAAAAATAAAAATCTTATCAAAGGTGTGTTTATGTGTCTGAACCACTTAATGTGAAGCTTCTTCATGGTGGCGCAGCGGCTAGAGCTTGTACTATCC